AACCAGTCATTATCACTCAGCCGATTAAAATCCTTGTATCCACGAAATCCTTGTAATCCACGAAAATTTGAACACAATAAGTGTTCAAATTTTCGTGCAACTTTCACCGGTTTGGAATTTCTCGAAATTTCAAAGAAACTTAATGACTTTCTCTTGAAAATTTAAAAACGTCTATATTTTGATATCAATTGTTGCATTTTGTACTAATTTTGGTCCAACTGTCTCTAGTCTGCAATTTCTCGAAATTTCAGAGAAACTTACTTACTTTCTCTTCAAAATAAAAAAAAATTCTCTATATTTTGTCATCACAATGCATCAGTGCGTTCAACATATGTCATAACTTTCTTTTACTTATAAAAGTTTAAATATATATGTTTAAAATTTAAAATATTTAAATTTTAAAACTTTTCCTCCGTCACTCTTAAAAATGTATCCATATTTCGGCGCATTATCATATTTTCCACGTATACAATATGTACACGTGTCGTGTACTACAATGCCCAACCCCAAATTACACAATGTGTACCCACTAATCCATAAAATCCACTCTTTTCCTTCATTTTTTAACCCCCCCCCCCCCCGACTTTCTCCACATTACAAAATCATGCACATCTCTCTTATCCTTTCGCTCCTCCCCGCTAATAAGTAAGTAATACATACATAATCTCTCCAACCTCCTCCTACATTCCCTATTCTTCGTCCCTTCATAAAACAGCGGATTCTCCCGGCATCCTGATGAGAGGGGAAATTTGCATATGCAATCCCATCTCAGGAATCATCCCGTAAAATAAAATCACGTCACCCACCCAACTCCTCTGAAAAGCAGGCTTCATTAAGAACCAGCCACCACCAAGCACGATGTAAACTAACACCAAGCCCGAGCAACATCAGCGTTAAAATCAAGTGGATTTTGTCAAGTGGTGGTCTGGTCGTGGGGTCGTCTACGTGTCAACTTTTTGGGTATCAATGCCTCCCATCAAATATTGGGGAGATCTGATTAGCCACGCAGACGACGGTGGCTTAAAATGTCTCGATATTAGAGCAAGGAGAGGATAAAGATTTAAATTTTATTATTATGATGAACACACGAAACGACATGTCGTCTCATGGAGCCACATAACAATTTATCACCAAAGCGGAGGACACGGTTGCCTCCTTCGTTTCATATTCAAAACGTGGCCTGATCCTCATCAATTTGGATGCCCTGATGAGATGGTTAGGAATTTGCATCTTTCTTCTTCTTCCAGTAGGGATCAGACTAGACGGAGGAGGCTTTTAATGAGAAGGACAAGCAGAGGTGGCAAGTCAAGGAGAGTGATGCCCTCACTCCTTCCTCCCGGCTTATTCGGTGGGATTAGGTCACTAGCTTCAGGGATTTCTGCTTGGTTTTCATGAAAAAATTTTCATGAGGGTGGAAATTAGTGTTTTTTATTACAAATTTTAGAAAATGTTTTGGAATTTTCTTCGACTAAAAAAAATTCCAAAAGATCACCTTATTCAGATGTTTTTAGGGTCAAATATGCGTGTGTATAATGAAACTGTTTTTCAAAATCGGTGTGGACTTTCTCCCAGCCGAAATTTTGTATTAGTCAAGAAAATTCCGAAACATCTTTTGAAATTGGTGACTAATTTCCGCCCTCATGAAAATATTTCCACTGCAGAATACTGGCTGGGAGAAAGTCCTTCTAGGTTTCGAAAAACACTACTTCAATATCCACTCATATTTGACCCAAAAACATTTGAATCATACCTGTTCACTTTCATTCATTTGACTGATTATGATGGTGAATTATTTAAGTAATTTAAAATTAATTTAGGAACTTTTTTCCAGCTTAAGAACTGGGTACAAAATACACTTTAATTATTCACGTTTGACTTCTCTCGTGTCGAAATCTGCATTTACGGATTTTCAAGGTATACAAAAAATTTGGCAAAGTTGGACGTCAAAATGGAAATAAACTGGTTCAATATAAATTGACATGTGAAAAAGATCATAGAGTTCCAATCGACTTAAAACCATCTCGTTTTGAGCTATATTATTTTTATAATGATAGTGAATGAGAATGAATTTTTTGTCATTTTTTTGAATAAGAATGACTGAAGTAAGAAATGAAGCCGGATGAAGTGAAATGAAATGAATTTGATCGAAAATGACTGAATCTGAATGAAAATCTTCAGTAAGAAATCGAGATTACTGACTGTTGAATGAAAAGTAAATCTTTGAACAGGTATGATTCGAATAGGGTGGCTTTGACCAGAATGACGGACCGACACAGAAACCGAGGCAATATGTCCACCTTAAAAGACCTAATAAAAATTGAAAAGCATTTCGTACTCGTAAATTTCGATAGAGAAATTTCGAATATCACGAAATGGAGAAACGTAAATAAATACCTGATTTCGTATCAAATGAAATCTTACATCCTTTTGTGTAAGGATTTTATGTGTTCCCCATGCTTAAAAGTTTTGTAATGGGTGCAGTTCGAGTAATGCACGAAACAATAAAATCATAATTAATTACCTCGGTTCATTTCACAAATCCGATCGTAATTGGATCGTGGATATTTGGACCCACATTTGTTTTCGGGTACGACAACAAAGACGCCAATTATTATTAGCATCACTAAATCGTAGCCTTAAACGATTAGGAATTTCATGAGATATACATAAAATTTAGAGACACGATTAACTTATGTACTTGTTTCCATAAAATCCGCACAAGAGATGCGTAGGTGGCAGAGAAAAGTTTATGACCAACAAAATTATGTTTAATTGCGCAACATTAAATGTTAATTCTATCGAGACGGGATTATGCTAAAATACTTATTTGTGTAACACGGATGACGTAAAATTTTACATACAAAAATTGATCCTTACATAATTGTGTACAATCAATTCTGGAAATTTACTCAGATTTAAATCCTTATAGGAAATCTTGTAATGATATTTCCCATGTGTAGTGTTTAACAAATATGAGAAAATACCCACGTGGAGAGATTTATGCCGATTATTTAGGCAGTTTTAGCACATGGGTTTCTCATATGGGAAATAAAATTTAGAATACTTTTCAAAATGTTCTGCAAAATATAGATTTTTGTAAAATATAAATCTCTCCCCTTCACAAAAGTTGACGCTCGGCATGTTCAATTTTGAAGATTTTTTTCTAAAACTTACATAGCTTATTTTTAAAAAATTATACAAAATATTTGGGAAACTTTTTGAAAATTATTCATAAAATCGAAACTACAATATTTATCAAAGTGTGATTCATTTGTAAATAGAAATTGAAATCTTAAAATTTTGAGAAATTTGAATATGTGCCGTACATTACACATTCCTTTTTCTTACCATACTTTTATTAGTACGGAGTGGAAATTCGTACTAAAATGTAACGATCCGAGCCTTTCCACTGCTTCAGAAAAGGCCACATCAACTCGATGCATAATAACGTACATAACATAACTTTACATCGTAATGGTCATGAGGCGAGATGCCGAACGGGTTCAGGTCCCCTTTATGGGAAACGATTAGTCGGAATTTTAGTTAACTCAGTTCTTGAGACATGTAATTGGAATAAATGGTGACGGAGCTGGAAAGGTGAACAAAACTCCCTCACCCATTCCGATAATTCAATTCTATCTCAATCCATTTTCTCCTAAATACTTTAACTTTCTCCAACGGATTTTAACGGCACGGCGCACCAAATTCTTACACCAAACTCAATATTTTATTATTGTTTCCTTCCATGACGATTTCACTTTCTCCAAGTTTTCCAGAGAGGACAGACTTGGAACCAGTGGCCGCGGAAGCCATGTGGGGACATTAACCTTGCAGGCACACCTGTTTAAAATTTAGTTTTCATTCAAAAGTCAGATTTTCATTCACATTCACTCATTGTCTTTCAAATTCATTTCATTGCACTTCACTTCATCGGACTTCATTTCTTAATTCGCCCCATATGTATTAAGCATAAGGTGAAAAATGAAATGAATGAGAAACCCTTTCATTCACAGTTATTCATCTGAAATGACGGAATCTTTCAATCATTTTCATTCAAATCACAGGAAATTCATGTTCACTCACCATCATAATCACTCAAATGAATGAAAGTGAACAGGTATGATTGTAGGATAGGAGAGGAAGCAGTTTATACAACATGGGGAGATAATGAGGACATCGAAAAACCGTGGGGCATTATCCCTCTTTTGTCCCCACCCTTCCGCGGGCACTGGTTGGAATCCATGCAGCACCTACACGTCTCTTATTATGTACGAGGAGCATGAAAGTTGGCAAGCCACACGACCAAATAAACAAGGTACGACGATGCTTGGAGTATTTATAAATATGAGAGACGAACAGACTGACAAGTTTGGATATATAAAAGTTGGCCTGGTTGGAGACACATATCGAGAAAGGTGCATACATAAATTGGCTAATCAGTATTCCGAGGCATGACTCATTTATGACTGTGAACACCTCCGGAATGGGAGTCTGACTTAAAACAATGAATGAGGTGATCCTCGCTCACTCGCGATGAATTCATATCCACAAAATTGAGTTGCCTAATGCATAAGTATGTAATCTCCAAGCAGGTAATCTCAAGTTCTTAATTCGTCATACCTACTTTGTGAATTCTGATTTACTCGCACGTGTCGCCCCGTTTACCTTTTTGTGAGTTTCAGGTCTACAATTTTATTTCTTATAGTACATAAATATTTAGCTTTGGTCAGATGATTACAGTTGACTTGTATTTATCTTCTGTACACAAAATTACGTATCTCACAGATTATGTAGAACTTTACCTGAAATGAAGTTCATAATTTTAAAAACCTGTTACATAATACGTAATGGTGAACCCTGATTCTTCACTCCGTCAAAAAATGGAGGTGTGCATATGTTGAAATGAAACTGAGGAGTTTGAGAAGCCCATTAAAACTCGCTTATTATTCAGATTTTCCATGCATTCCTTCTCCATCTTAATGGCCAACTTCCTACTTGTACGTACAACAAAGTGAGGAGAGCTGCACTGCGCTGCAGGTGAAATGCATGCACAATTTATTTAATGACTCCTACGCACTTGGGTTTATTCTTTCCTCATCATCCTCCATAAATAACACAACTCCTCTTAAAACAATAGGAATACAGGCAAAGTTTGACATTTCTCAAAGTCATTGTTTGCAATTGATATAAGTATACTCACGGGTTTGGTATTTGTGTATATCGCAAAGTTTTACCCACAGTAAAATTTTGGCAATCGTTTCATCCAGTTAAAATCTTGAGACAAAATTAAATTAGTAATATTTCTGACCGTAATTTGTACTCGATTTTTTATGCTCGTGGTTTTAAACTGTGATAAACTATCCAAACTGTGACTTTGCAAATGCATAAGCACATTATTTGTAAATTATTTTGCAGTAGTTGGATTGTGAGTAGTGATTATGTGGAGATATAAAGATTGTAGAATTCTTAATGTGGGTGGAAGTGATTTATTTGCATTGGTGCAAAGCTTAAAACAAAATAAAATAATCAAATAGATAAGGTATCAGTTAAAAAGATAATGATTTTTTAATCACTTTTTTCAACGATTGTTAAAATCTTCAATTCCATTTATGAAAAATAGTGGCTTCCACTACGTGCAAAGCGAAAAGCTTGTACAATTCTTAATGTGGGTGGAAGTAGAAGTGATTAATTTGCATGTACTGTGTGGTTTGATGCAAATTATAAAAAACAAAATAAAATAATAAATAAGTAATCTCATTGATAAGACATCACTTAAAAAGTTGACGATTTGTTAATTACTTTTTTAACGAGTGCTAAAATCTCCTAATTTAAATATTCTTCAATTCTACCCATTCCTGAAAAAGAATGACTTCCACCACGTGCAACCCGAAGAAGAAGACGCTTCAGAAATACACCGCATCCGTGACGCGATATCCCCCCAAGAGGAAGCAGAGTCCCCCCCACGCCCCCTCCACGTCCACCTACGACGCCCGTCTCCTCACCGCCAAAGTCGTGGACTCGATCTGGAACACGACGATAATTCGGGTGGACGCTGACGAGCTGAAAATTGTCGAATCCAAAGACGATCTAATGCCAGATCTTCATAGAAAATCAGAGGACGTCGAAGTCATCCAAATTGATCTCCTCGTGGACCACGAGACTCTCAAAGTTCTCAAGTTTGACCAACTGGGCAAAATTTACTTGGAGATGGACGCCGTCATTGAGGACATGCAAATTCTGCGAGGGGGGCAGAGACAGCATAAAGAAGGATGAATAGTGAATGCATAAATGTGGTATCAAAAAAGGTGCGAGGTTTTTATTAGTTATTTATTTTTTACTGAAAATGGAGGTCTCTCAGCGTGTGCTCTCTGCGTTTGGTCATTTTGGGCAAATTAGTGTCAATCGATCACAAATTTAATTAGTATGAAATTTGGGAAAGACACGACCTCCCAATGGACACGGTTGGCAGAGATATTTTCATCCGAAGAGGAGAAAATGTGTCTTAAAGTCTTAAAGTTAACAATGTTGACATGTTTCTAAACTTACTGCCCGTTTTCTCCTCTTCGGATGCAAATATCTCTACCAAACGTGCCCTTTGGGAGATCGCGTCTTTCGCAAATTTCACACTAATTAAATTTGCGATTAATTGACACTAATTTGTCCAAAATCTGTAAGCATACGCTGAGAGACCTCCATTCTCAATTAGCACGGATTAAATTAAAACGAAACCAAAAGTGCGAAGTTACATACACTTTGTTTAAAGAGTTAATTTTCCTTTGTGTTACAGAACGGGGTACAAATTGAGACGGGGAAAATGTTGGTTTTGAGCTGGAGGTGTTATTTGCCATACATTTTTGACACTGAATTTCATTAAAACGTTGAAAGAATAAAGAACTGTTTGAGTAATTTGAAACTGCTCCAGGCTGTGCAATCTTTTCGAAATGCAATTACTCCGTGTATCATGTAAATACTTAAACATGTACAGTTTGTTGGTGGGATGAATATTAAATGGTTTTTAGCCCGAGTCAGGGCTTACGTACGCGTCACGGCTGTGTGTCTGTTTATCGATTACGCTCGTACAACTTATCGAATCGAAATTTTGGACACATTTGGCATATGCAAAATTAGGAACTACATAAGTTCGAAGATCGACGAGAAAAATCTGTCGAACAATTTAAATAGTTTCTGTAGTCACCTCAATTATTAAGTAATCCCAACCTGACTCGGGCTTCATGGATTTAAAGTGAGGATTTTATGGAGTTGCAGGAGGTAGAAGAGAGTTGGCACAAAAGGGAAGAATTCTTAGGGTTGGGCTGGTCTCATATTAAGGAGACCAAATACATACAAAAGGTGAACCCGGTCAGATCTCAACGTCCAGCCAAACATAAAATCCAGGGTGCTACATGTACATATTTCTGCTTTTATGTCCCATCAACATTTGTGGCACGTTGACGCTCATATTTTATAATTTTACATTTTGTAGCCAGTAAAAAAATGAAATGTCAGTATTTGAAAAATTGTCTTTCTTAACTAATCTTCATTTCATGCACTTTCAAGCAGATAAAGCGGAGGGATCTTGAAATTTTTCCTATTATTAGATAGTTTTTAGGTTTTTAAATTTTTCGAATATTTTTATGCACGCTTTAAATGAATTTTAGTCATTATTTGGAAAAATGGTTCTTGCCTGCTCTTTTTTTCCAGAGAACCCTGTCACCTCACGCGGACCAGGTGTGTTGTTGATTAACATCATACAATTAAGTGCAGCTAATCTCTCCAACCTCCATTTTTCTCGACTGTTTGTCCAACTCCAATCTTGACAAGGATCGCCAATTTAAAATCTGCGTGAGCCCATCAGATTCACGCAGAGAGTGAGCAGTCAACCAACATGACGCGCATCTTCCTCCTCTTTACATGGCCCAACCAACTCAACTCCTTCATCTTCACCCATTACTTATTAACCACAAACCAATTTCATATAAGTATCTCGTGTGAGTGAGTACGTAATGGGAATCTTGGGAATCGGTCAGTCTTGACCTCTCGAGTGAAGCTTCCACTTCCATCAAATAAAATTCACTGTTCTGTGTAAAATTTCACAAAAAGTTGTAAATTCTAATTCTTTCAGCTAAATCAAAATGATTCTGAAATTGAGGCATGAGTTCCGCTGGTGCCGTGTAAATTGTGAAATTGTGAGACATCGGTGCCGTTAGAAGATATAATTTTTAAAATCATGTGACACTAATTACGGGGTTCAAAATGGGAACGAAATTTACACGTTGGACATCATTGCTGAGGGGATGTGGCTTATGGTACGGGATAATTGTGACTTTTGTGCTCCCTGGATCCACAAACACTCGTGATACCGGTCTGTTTTCATATGCATTTCTTTTCCTAAGATCGCTTTTCTCAACTACATAACAATGGAGGTCTCCCATCCCACCGTTTGCTCTCAGATTTTGACCAAACTAATGTCAATCGATCACAAATTTAATTAATACGAAATTTTCAAAAGACATGATCTCCCAATGCGCAGATTTTGCAGAGTTATTTGCATCGGAAGAAGATAAAACGCGCCCTAAAGTTGACAAATTTTACACTTTCAAAATTTACAGGTCATTTTCTGCATATAACTTAAATTTGTGATCGATTGACACCAGTTTGACCAAAATCTGAGAGCGTACCCTGGGATCCTCCATTGTCAGTATTTTTATTTGGGGTTTATCAATCCAGTTGCGTCCCAAAAATGGAGCGTGCCACCGCCCAGCTTTAGTTTCTCATCCGTCTCGGGGTCTCAAGTGAACCTATTTGGTCGTCGTTCTCAGCAGTGGAATAACGATTTCCCCCCTCAAATCAGCCCTCCTCCTGACTCACTTTTCCCCCCGAACGAGACCTGTGCCCTGGAGAGGGACTGGTTGTGGGGGGAGATGGGGGTCTGGGATCCGCCCTGGAGTCAAAATAAACCTGCCAAAAAATTCGCAAAGAAATTCGACCTTATGCCGACGCCATTTCAACGGGACGAGTCTTCCTACAACCCCTACGCAATTTTAATGGGGGACGAGTTCAACAGTTTGATGAACATGACGAGGAATGGGGTGACGATGCTGAGAAGTGGACAAGATGGACCACGTGACAACGACCACGAGGAGGGTGACGAGCTGGAGGAGGATTCTCTGGGAAAGCTGGAAACCACCTTGTCACGTGTCAAACTCATTCCAGATGGGCACCACGTGTCCGGATTTCTTAACAAAGGTGTCGTCAAGCGGTGAGGGTACAAACTTTTGCAAAAAATTTGCACAGAAAATTTTTCAAACTATTTCTTTCCTTGCAGATTTCTCTTCGTAAACGACAAATCGGGTAATCCTTTCTCCATCACGATTACACCCTGCACCTCCATTCTTCACTGGGTCGTGAAAGTATGGCCCGTTCTGGGTAAGCCAGCTCGATAACCCCACCCGATAAGCACCTCAATTACCCATCTCTTCCCTCCTCCAGAAACCAAATCTTCCACCACACTGGGAGGTCCCCTCACCCTGAAAACATTTCGTACCCAACGCCCCACCACGTTTTCAGTCCCCTCCGCCTCCCGCGGCGTGTATTCCGTCGACATGCGCCCAATTTCGACCGACTCGTACGTCCATCTCTACGCCACGTCCTCCGCTTCCGGTCCGAGTCGCCTCTTCTTCCAGGAAAGTGGTGGCAGTCACACTAACAAGAACGGGGACACTTTTATCCAGCACATGTTCACCCACGTGGAGATGGAGGTCCTCAAGGAGAAAGATGTGCGGAGTGGCGCGGAGAAGGGGGCGCAGATCAACACCAATCTCGCCGCGCAACAACTGGCGTCGTCCAGTAACAAGCCGCGCATTTGGGCGCAGAGGTTGCGCGGAAATCGGCTCCACGTGCGCTGGGACACTTCTCCGGTGAACCCGCACTTGATGCAGTACTGCTTGGTGGTCAACACGAGGCGGGACTACAGCTCGCTCTGCTCTGCGACCGGAGAACGGTACGGCGTCCTCCCGCCGGACTTGATGCATGTCACGTATTACGGCGGAGAAAGTCAGAAGGGCGGCGAGGGCGTGAGTTTATCTTATCTTTACAAGTTTAGTCTTATCATCAAAATTGACAAATTTTTAATTATTTCTCGCCTCCGGAAATTTATTTTAAAATTCTGGACGGCAAATTTGTAGTCAGTGAGTTGATTGACGGAAGGACGGTGTGTTTTTCAAACTAGCTTCGATAAGTTCCAATTTTTTCGGAAGGATTCTTAAACTTGAAATCTTCTTCAAAATCTGGAAATTTTAGATAAATTCCCAGCTCCGAGAAATGATTAAAAACCTGTTGATTTTCACGATTACTGCGATAAGTCATTGAGTCCTATATTATAATCGTCATCCAATTTTAATTTCGATTGCTGGGAAATCCACAAAAAATTACAACTTGACAAACTTTTGTAATAAAGGAAGGAAGTCATCAAGAAATTGGCAAGTTGTGAATATTTATGAATGTGCAGTTGCAGTCGGACGAGCCCCTGAAAAAGAGAAAGCATCGTCACGAAAGAAAGCGGAGAAAGTTGAGGTCTCCGTCGCAGGAAGAAGATCTCCTCATCGGCTGCACCAACAAGAAGACCCACTACATTCTGAGCCACCTCGTCCAAGGACGCCTCTACTATTTCAACGTCTTCGTCAGGGACATGAGCACAAACGTCAGCTTGCCATATGTCAGGACCACCTTGAAATATCATGCACCAAAGGTTCGTATCTTTACCAATTAAATATGCAAATTAAGTACATATTTTCATAATATGCGTTGGCTGGCAGCACCCCGCTAATTTTTTGCGGGACAACAAGCCCCTAAAGGTGAAGCTGAACTTGCCCCCTGGCCCGTGGCGAGATGGTGACGGTGAGGGTGGCGTCACTGGGGTCCCCAAATTTGGTGGCGTGGACGTGACGACGGTAAAATTCAATTTGAACAAGCCCTGCAACGAGATGGCGATTTATGTCATGCCCTGCGGAGGTGGAGCCGTCATCTTCGAGCTCTGGCATGGAGAAAATAGGTGAGAATGGATCGAAAATATTTGTTTTAATTAAAACAAATTAAAATTTTGAGATGGTTATGAAAATTCCTGAAAAAATTGAGTTTCAAATTGAAAATCAATCGATAATATGCACATGTATTTAGCCGTTTCATGTTGGCTATTTTCCGAAACTCGGTTTAGAATATGGGAAAAACATTAAAATGTGCAAATAACTTTGAAAATTTGAAACTTCATGAAAAATATAATTGCCCAATTTTACGAAGAATCGATGATGCGCATTTCTTTAACCACTTCATGTTTCACTCATTAGTTTAAAATATGAGATAAACTATTAAAATATTCAAATTCAAATTGAACGGTATCTGTTATGGTGATCGTTTTGGGCTAAATTTCTTTGAATTTTGCATTATTCTGATCAGTAATTAGGGCGATATTTTGGGCTAATATATTTTATCAAAATCCGGTTGGTTGTCAGTGGTTTTTGATTAGTAAATATGGCTCAATGATTCTTACCCCGATTTAAGGCTTGGGGAACCGTTTTGCCAGTCTGTCTGTTCGTATGTCTGTTCATTTTCAACTTCGTCAAATGAACCCCAATTGATTAAAAACTTGACGATTTGGCAGATTATACTATCAAAAAATTATTCAGTGTGTCTACTATAACTCCAACGGTCCTGTTTGAGTCACTTCCAACCCACGAATGTAATTACTGTTTTTATCTTGTCGGGCTTTGGTGTATAGGCATTGAAAATGTTATGCAAAATGGTAGCAACGCGCAACATGGTTACCATTTTATTAATACCTGTGGTAATTTTGCATGGTTTCCATTTTATTCCCTGTTTTTTGATGCATTTGAATTTATTACTCGAAACCTAGAAATGTACCATCTCCAATTTTTTGATGAAAAATCACCAATAGTATGACCATCAACATATGCAAATATTTTCAAAATCGTTCGTGGTCTTCATATTTTAATTTTCGTTTTTGTTTTTGGCCTATCTAAATACGTGTTAAACATAGCCCAGGAGAATATTTGTTTCTCCATTTGTGGGCATGTACCATTCCTGAAATTTTCAGGAATGGTAGTTTGAAAGTTGTTTGATATCGTATAAAAAAATCAGAAAAATCGTTCGTGGGCTTCATCGTTTTATAATTCATCGAAATTTAGCCCAATACGATCGTCTCAATAGATACCAAGCTTTTAGGTGGAAATGAAAATTCCCGAACATATTTTCAAATAAATTTTGAAGTTTCAATTTACGAGTAATCGATATCTGTCTGCTTTTTTTTAGAACTGTGTACACCTCTGCCCCCACGGATTCTCTGGACGTCGTAAAAATTGCGATGCCACAAAAGGGGAAATATTTTCTAAAGCTTTCTCCCACCCCGAATGGAGAAGATGTTAACAATTGGACCAAAATGGTCGAAGTCTTTGTGGCCAAGAAGAACCGGAAGTTGCCCATTCCACGCCTCCCTGGTCAGAAATCGCACATTCCAAGACACAAATTCCCCTAAAACAGATTAATTTCCGAATTTACACTTTTGCAGAGATCACGAAGCTGACGGAGGACGAGTCTCTGCGCACGTGTGACTCTGTGACGTTGCAGTGGTGGCCTTCTCCGGACATTCGGGACAACGAGTACTGCATCTTTCTCAAAGAAGAATCCCGACCTCGGCGACATTTCACCTTCAAAAAACCAAACCAGTGCGACGTCGACCGCAGTTTACGATCCGATCCCTACGTCACGCACAGTCTCTGCGTTCAAAAAACACTGTCACCTGAAACGTACGTTTTTCTTGTTTTTCTCGTATCGAGGAATTAAAACCGGTTTTGGGTAAAATCGACAACCGGTTTTACAAAATCGGAGAATTATAAAAAAACGGTAGATTTTATCACCGTTAGAAAGAATCTTTCGATGTTTAATTATACAAATTATTTCAGGTTAGTAGTATATATTTTTCACATGGTTTTATTTTTTTGAAATACTTTTTTCCCAAATTAAGCACTGGCTAAAGTTTGTTTTATATTTTTCTTAAATTCGAACTAAAATCGGAGAAAATTTAAAACCGGTTTTACGAAAATTTGTTAAATTTTCAAAATCTTCCCATTTTGAATGCCTTACTCGAGAGTTAAAAAATTATTAATGTGTGCATTGTTTCTTGATTTTGGAACTATTTCAGGCTTTTGCTTTCCCAACGGATCGTGGGCCTATCTCGAGGAAAGGTGTACGTGGTGCAGCTCATCGTGCGACGACACAACGGAAAATCACTCTCCTATGACCTCACAGTCGTACAAACCCTTAAATTATGCTCCGAATAAAAAATAGCCATCTCTCCACCTTAATAAATAAATAAGTTATATAATACATTTTCTTTTACATATTTTCTCATTTAAAATAGATGCTTGTTTTCAGCTAGGAACCATTTTTCTACTGAATTAAATTCAAGAAATTCCATTTAAGTAAAAAAAAAATATATACTTAATTAAAAAAATGTAAAACTTTCTCGCCAAAAGTAGAAATACAAGATTATTTAGATATAAACTGACAATTTTAGATTAACCACTCCCCGAACACAAAGTATGGATTGTTAATGTCAACCAATAAAGTTGTAATAATTTATTTTAATTTCAATACTCTAAAATATTTCCAAACTCTACGGAATTATGTCGTAGTTGAATATTTAACAAAAAATAATAATTTCGACGTGATCAACATTCAAACAATTTCCAATAATTTAGTGTTTCGACTTAAAACAAATTTCTCCATTATGGGAAATCATCACGACTCACACTTATATCTTGTTCGTGCTTAATTAGGCATTACAGAACAAATACTGGTCCACTCGTTGTTCTCCTTGTCCATTGTCCACTCTCCAGTCTTGCGGAAGAATTCTGCAATTGAGCTGTCATTTCATAACTATGCAAGATTTGGACATTTCCAGTGGCCGCGGAAGCGTGGGGACATTGTTCCAAGGTTCTGGGAATTTATTTTAAAATTCTGGATGACAATGTCCTCACCGTTATTCGATGTCCCCATCATCTCCCCACGTTTTTTAAACCCCTCCCCCTTAACCTTCCCACATGTCCCCACACCTTCCCCGGCCACTGGACCTTACTTCCTCCACTCTCAAGTGTCCTCCTTTGATGTGCGGAGTTCTTCCCAATGCATAATTTTATCACCAATCTTGCTCCCCCGGAAGCGGCATTGTTTGTCTTCTTCCTCGGAGGAGGAATAATTGGTGGCATTAGTGACATATTCGAGCCTGTCTGAGAGGAGAGGCGAGCGAGTGGAGGCAGATAAGTGGAGTGAGTGACAAAATAATTGAATTTCGAAAGAGAAAGTTCATGCACCATGTCTCGAAATACAATTATGCTCCCAGCCAGACCGACTTGAGATGAGCAAGAGTTGAACATGAGAAGGGAGAGTGGAGATCAAATGCTGCTCTTCATATACTCATGTTAATTAGCTTATCTTGACAATTTCCTTACTCGTGTCACTTGAGTGGACGAGTGTCACGTCATCCATCCGCGTCTCACTCACTCACTCACCATTAGCTTATGCAAAAGTATATAAATACGTATCCTCCCGTAATTATTTAGAGTGAGAGAGAGTAGCTGAAATTGGGAGAAAGTGACAACTTTTAAGGTGAAATGCTAAATCACATACGAACAAAATACGAGATCTTGTCAAACTACGAATGTGAACGTGCATACATAAATATGTAAACTTTGTAAAGCTGCAGAATTGATGATCTTTTATTACGTGGTAAAATTAACAGCGTTACATTATGCGAATCACAAATGGCGTGAGAAAATCTCAATTTTCCACGCTTGACGGTGCCGATTCTATTCTAAACCTAATTTTATCCGGATTCTGCACCTTGCTTTAAGGAAAATAAGAGGCGAAGTAATTGAATATATTCAGGACAGATCATCTTTTTTAAGCTGAGCATAAATTGTAATAGAAATCGCACGCATGCAAAATTGTGGCGGACCACAAATTAAAGGTGCTTCAATTATGTAGGAAATGAAGCGTCTCATTTTGCACGTTTACTTACTTAAGTTTAAGTTTAGCGTACTTACCAATTTATGCTTCGAGTGGAATATTATTTGCCACGACATGATCATGACAAACAATGTGATGCCAAATTCGTCACGTGGCATTCATATTCGTATTGGATTTGGGACACTATTCAGTCCACGATTTAATTTAGGACGACGTATCCTTGTTCTCGTGATGGCGTTAAGTTTGCCACCCGTAAGTCCGCCGCCATCTCCGCCGGAGGGGTGTCGTCTCGGTGGGGGGAGCAGCATCCGTGGACCGCGCTCCGTCTCCTGGTCACTCCCCAGCCCACATTCTGCCCGCACTTCCATCTCACTCCCCGCTATTCGGATTGAACACGTGAGTTTTTACATCCACTTCCGGTTTCGTTGGATATCTTGCGTTTCTTGCGGGTTTGCTGCATTTCTTGCACTGCAAATCAAGCCACACAAGAAATGCGAGGTGCAAGAAAGTGGGAGAAAATGCAAGAAATATGCGCCCCCTAGCCACGCGTGGTATGAAGTATTTATATCGGCACGGCGTAGTTTCTAGCGCCTCGCATTTCTTACAGGTCAAAATATTTACCTGCAAGAAACCCCTTTCTCCCCGTTATTTCTTGCAAATGGTTATTTACACCTGAAACACTGGATATCTAATTAATTGATGATGTCATTTTTACGCCATAAAATGTCAGGTGGACCAATACCACCACAGCCATCAGAGTAGCGAACGTTTAGCGGATGAGGACCCCAACTCTCCCGAGTTTCTGGACTGGCGTCGCCTTCACCTGAGCAGGGCGAAATTGTCGGGAATTACAGAGATGGCCGCATTGATGGCGGGATTCTCCGTGGTATTAATTTAACAATCTCAATTCTAATAAGAATTCCTCAAAACCATGTCATTTTTTTCTCTTTAGGTGGCCACGGTTGAGCTCCAGATTAACGAGGATGCTCATCCCTACATGCTGACCGCCTTCACCGTCACGACCGCTCTGCTCGTCTGTACCACAATGCTGGGTAAAAAAGGAGAAGCTTATTTATTCTGCAAATTATCTAGTTGCCAATTGGTTTCATATGACTTTTCTGCTCAGCCATCATGATCTCCACTTGTATCCTACCGCACGTCACTGTGGTCGCCAAGATGCATCCGCACAGCAAACCCCACGAGAGTCCGCATGACGCCATGATGTGGTAGGAATTACTAACCAGACGCATTTACCCCACAATTTTACGTAGATATCTGCAGGGTATTTAGACCCGGGGTTTTACTCTGTTTATGGGGTTTGCTAGATTGCAAATCACTAAAACCCGATTCGGAGTTTTACCATGTTATTCCGGCTTTACTGGGTTTTACCGCAGAAAAGTCGGGCGAAACAATTTGCACACTTTTATAACCAGAATTAATTTCTCTTAAGTCAAGTTTAATTTTCTCATATATATTTGTAAAATTATCAGTTAGCAAAATTTAGTAAAACCGGTAAAACAAGAAAAACGAAGTAAAACCGAAAAAACGAGTAAAACTGGAAAATTCAAGTAAAACCCACTTGGCGTACTGATTTTGATATCTTGACCTAGAATATATTTGGTAACCCTTCGAATTTTTGCAAGGTTTTTTTTGCACTTCCTTCGTTTTGCAGGTATATCGACCTCTCCTGGGTCTTGGCCAACTCGACGTCCATCTTCCTCTTCACGCTGGACGTGATTCTGCTCTGCTGGGTCAAGTTCACCCACTTTTCGGAGGCCGCTTCCATCGCCGCGACCGTCATCATGATTCCCGTCCTCGTGGCCACGTGCATTTTTGGAATCCTCTTTTACCGGAATATCGTCAAGCACCAGTTTCTCCTCAGCGAGTCCAAGGTCGAAGAGCTCGAGGAGTTCAAACGACAAATCGACCAGGTGTCCAGCCTCGTCGGCAGAAATAATGTCATCCAAGTTTAAATTAGGAAGTGTTTTAAAATTACCAGGAAATTTTCCATATGCAAATTAAATTAAATTATTCCCACGACATATAATTATCTCTAATTAATACTGCTTTATTATTAAACTTGTAAATAAGAGGAACGAATTGTGCATTTCTCGTCATCATCGGGACTGGATGTAGATGTTGCAGTAGTAGCAGTTGATGGCTCCTGGACCACCTTGGGGCTGTTGTGGGCGTGGGTATTGGGGTGGTTTCTGGGGGATTTGGGGCTGTGGGGGAGGGTAGGTTGGGAAGGCGGGGGTAGGATTTGGGGGACGCCAACCACCGCCGCCGCTGGCCCACGCACCACCACCGGCCCAACCACTCCCCCCGCCGGTCCACCCACCGCCCCCGCCGGTCCAACCACCACCACCGCCGCCGCCGTTCTGTGGGACGTACATACATAAATTTGGTACAGCAAAAATAAATGCTATCATTACTTGGCTTGATTTGCATACGTACCTGTGGGGGACGCCAGCCACCCCCGCCGCCCTGGGGACATAGTCATAAATTAAGGAATAAATAAATCAAAATATTCTATTATCATTATTAGTCTTGATTTGCATACCGTGAGTGAGCATGCGCCCAGAGACGCCATTTTTATTCCTATTAAGAATGAAAGTTATCCTCAGATTTCATTTAATGGCCGAATAATTTAATGCATGACTATTTTGCCGATATTGAATTATTTAAAATTTAGCATTTATGTTGAAATTAGTGCATAACTAATAATTAGCACGTTTTATGTCCATCAATTACTTACTTCCCCCCACGCAATTACTGACGCAGTTGAGCTTGCACAAATTTCCATACGTGACGCCATCACTGCCACAAACCGGCTGGTAAAGCTCGATGCAGATGCATTTCCCCACACAGCCAGGCTATCAAATCACACAACATTATGCAAATTGACTAATTACACAAATATGTAAACTACTCCTATGGAATTTAAGTCATGAATTCCATACGTCTTGTCGCGTAGAAAATTTTTTCTCCTCTTCCTCCGCATTAACATCGTCGTCAAACAGCTCGTCATCATCGCTCCGTTCAAGTTCTAACTGCTTGTGATCAATTTCTAAACCGGCGTCATCCTCGTCATTGTCCTTTTCCGTCAGCACGGTCACATTTCCGGCCTCGATGCCAATCTTAATCACGGCTCCGTGAAGATTCATTCCCGAGCGGTGGCCACGATTCCAACTTTGGCGTCCGTCCCCCAACTGAGACGACGCCAACACCACAAACACGACTAGTTGGGAAGGCTTCATTTAGTAAAATGGTAACAACAATTTTCCAGATTTAGTGTAAAAATTAGGGTAAGTTTTTAGAGAAAAATGGCACAAAATTGCACTTTCACTTTCATAATTTGTGTTCTAAAATTTGAAATCCCAATATTTACACGTAAATGTAGAGCAACAAATGTGTAAACTGCATGATCACTGCACTGAGAAATGTGTTTGTTTGAAAATGAGACGAAATTTCTCTTTAGAGCAATTTGTGCATTGATCGCGTACGGTAAAATCTCGTTTGTTAGGTGACAATTAAATCAATACAGCCGGCACCTTGACCTGACCGGTTTAAACCGGTCGGACAACTATTTATCCCTAAACCAGATTTAAAATCGGGTTTCCTACAATTATTCGTGACAGGTTTTATAAATAAATATCCACATTTCAAAATATTTATTTACCACATTCATAGATATTTATTTTTGAAACTCTCCCAAAATACGCTGTCCATCCAACTCATACGGTTGACGGTTATCACACGCGGTCTCATGCAAATGCAACATAATTTTCTTTCAACTCCCGAAGTTAACAAACAATAAAATTTGAAACAAGTTTGAAATGCAATTTGTAAATGGCGTCATTAATGCACGATTTTGAACAACAATGTTGTTATTTAATTTACTACAGTTGCAAATTTTAGCTACAATTCTTTAAAAGTGAATATCAAATTCACTAATTCACAAATTTATTGCAATTATTCCCACCACCTGAAGAAGGAAACAGTTAGTTTCCGAAAGCTTGTGTTTGAATAAATCACTACAAAATGTCATCCATACGATCTGAAAATTCTCCTCTTGAATATCAAATTATTTATTACCTACAAACGTAAGGAATTTCATTGAAAATTTTGCTCTGGGAAAACTTTCATATGCATGTTAAAATATTTGCAATCACAATCGCAATAAGGAAGATGGTGTGGGGAATGTTTAGATTGAAAATGATCACTGCAAGTGGGCGACAGTGCGTCACTGCCGGAAGGTGGTATTGACCCATCCGTTATCGCCAGTTCTGGAACATAAATAAATATTAAATGAGAACAAAATCAGGGTGAAAGTTAGAGAAAGTAAAATCTCACCTGCGAAAGATATGGGAGAGCGTGTCGTCGTCCCTTCTCGAGTCGTAGTAAAACGTCCTGTCCGCGTATTTGTAGCCATCTTCGCGTTTAAGGAACCAGCAGCCTTCACATTTAGGAGTCTTTCCGGATTCTATATCTTAGACAAATTTGCGCGATTGACCTCAAGTGAATTCACCCAATAGATGTTTATCGTGACTTTAAAATACCTCTAAAGAAATATTTTCCTTTATGGAGATCTATACAGTCAGGAGTGTGTCTCTTGCCGACTCCGACTTGGCCACAACGCGAATTTTCACAATATTTCCACACTCTAGCGACTTTGTTGGGACCGTTGATGCAGGCGTAGAGCGCATGCGTCATGCAGTCCGGATTCGTCGTCGAAATTTCGTGACCGCAGTAGTACTCACGTTCTATTCCAGCAGAGTGACAGGTACAGAACGAAGTAAAATTAAAACTCGTATTTTCTGGATGCACAAAATCAGAAAATAAGAAGAGCGAAAATATCGTTAGAAACGTTTTATCAAATTTCCTACGCCTTAAAAGATAAATTGATCCCGTTTCCTCTGACTGTAAGAAATTTGTACACTCAAAGTGAGCTTGTTTAATTTCATGAGTACGTACATACATACTTGGTTACTTTAAGCATATACTTAAAATTAATGCAATAGCAATAAAATTAAGGAATAACAGGAACTAAACAGTGTTGAACAATGCAAGCTTGTTAAAATTTATGACACATTTTATAGGACTTTGTGAGTTCCTGGCCAGCATGATTTTGAACCAAAGCAACATTTTTCATAGACTTGAATATTCAATAACTAATTAAAATTTCATTGAAGCTTATTTGCATATGTACAGTTTGCAATTATTCATAACCTCAAGTTCGGCATCTAACCAAGTTCTTAATTGCGAAGTTTTAAAATGATGTGGAACAAAGAGCTGTGTATGTATGCATAAAATAAGGCTGGAGAAAGTGAGCTTTTTCGCCCATGCATCGTTATTAATTAATTAAAGTACCGGTTCTTCATACCCAGCATCTTCCAAATCGTATGAGCAACACATGCTATCACTAAATACTTGATTAACTAATTAAATTACCTATCTTGAAGCTGCCGAAGTTAACAATAAAATTATAACTGTCTAAAGAAAGGTTAGTAGCGTCATTAGTTTGGAATTTCGGCTATATTTTTTATCCATGAATATCAAGTTATGCATTAGCTGCGGAAGGAATTTCGTTGAAAAATTCGTCTTGAGAAAACTTGTATGAGATAAAATACACACAATCACGATCGCGACGAAGATGGTGTGGGGAATAAATTGAAAGATTATGCATGAAAAGATGGGTTACTGGCGGAAAGTGGTATTGACCCATTCGTTGCCCCCAGTTCTGGAACATAAATATTAAATTAGCATAAAATCAGGATGAAAATTGTGGAGAAGCTGACCTGCGATAGATGTGGAAGAGAGTATCGTCGTCCTTTCTCGTGTCGTAGTAAAACGTCCTGTCCGCGTATTTGTAGCCATCTTCACGTTTAGGGAACCAGCAGCCTTCGTACTTAGCAGTCTTTCCGGATTCGATATCTGCAATAAATTTGCGCATTGACCTTAAATGAATTTGCTCAATAAATCTTTTACTTTCAATTTACCCTTAAAATATTTTCCCTTTTGCGGATCTAAGCAATCTGGAGTAAATCTATTGCCAACTCCAACTTGACCACATCGAGAATTTTTACAATATTGCGTCACAATGGCGACCTTGTTGGGGCCGTTGATGCACTCGTAGATCGCATGTGTCATACAGTCCGGATTTGTCGTCGAAATTTCGTGACCACAGTACGGCTTGTATAGCTTTCCGGACGAGGGACACGTGCAGAACGAGGTAAAATTGAAACTCTTGTTTTCTGAATGCACAAAATCAGAAAATAAAGAGAGAGAAAATATCGTCAGAAACATTGTATCAAATTTTCTATGCTGTAAAAGATAAATCGTTCCCGTTCCCTCTGTTTGCAAGTAAATTATACAAATAATTCGAGGCAAATGCTCAAATTGTGCTTGTTTAATTTTACACTTCAATCTTAGTCGACGTTTATGCATAAACTACAAATTAACGCAATAGAAATAAAATTCAGTAATAACAAGAATTAATCAGTGTTAACAATGGAAGCTTGTTAAATTTATGACACATTTTATAGGACTTTATGGGCCATGACATCATATTTGGGTGTCTGGCGGCACATGGTTGCTGGTTGTGCTTAAAAATGCCGGAAACGACTAATTTTGCCAACATGCCAATGGGGCTCGTGACCCTGTGTCCGAGTTTTATGTTCAAGATTTAAAACTACCATACATACATTTGGATGAGATTATTGTAGGCGATTAAATATAGTATTTAGAAGAGAAAGCTTATGAAATCTCAATTTCTTCACTTTCCTCAATTTAGGGAACCCAACATTATTTACCATCAAATGATTATTATTTGTTACCAATTGTCAATTTCGATGGTCTTCAAACATGTTTGATGTCACTGGCAACGTGGTCATGAGTTTGTAAAAGAAAACGCCTATCTCACCCAATCAGGATGAATCAATCCGTTTCCAAGATTATTTGACACTTTATCAGTCTATAAGGTTACGACAAATGGCCGAGTTACAAAATAAATTTTCATTTTTATTAGCCCGAATCTGGGCTTATGGAACCGTCATGTCCGTCCGTCCGTAAACACGTTAGTAAAAATGGCTGAACCGATTGACTTGAAATTTTTACCGTGTACATATTGGACAAAGTTCGAAGATGGGCGAAATCGGTCAAGTGGTGGACCGGTGGGGTCATGTGAGTAGTTGGGATAAAATTTCGAAATTGTCGTAGAAAGCTGAAATTTGGTACAGAGGTAGCTATGACTTCTAATAGATAAAAATGATTTCAAGTTGGAAAAATTTTCATCTTGAGAGACCCTATGGGGTGACCTAGACCGATGTTTAGAAATTGCTTTAAAAATATGAAATCCGGCACGGTGATACTTTATAGCTAGTCATGAAAGAATATGAAGTTAAAATGCCAAATAATAGAAAATATCTAATAAACATTTAGCTATCCACACCACGGAGGTTGGTAATATTAATATGTCGGTTTCGAAAAAAATAGAAGTGAGCTCTTTAAACACAAGCTAGCGACCTGAAATTTTCCGAAGTTCATCTTCGGGTAAAAAGTAAGGATAAGTTGAAGATCGACATGATGGGTTTTGTCGGTGGGGGTCTTTTAAGTGGTTAGGGTTGACAGAAAAAAAAAATTAAATGTCATAGAAAAGTCCCAAATTTGCCGTAGGAAGTTGAAATTTTGAGATTAAGCCCTACGGGTGAGACCATAGGGCCTAATCCATACAAATCTTTCAAAAATATGCCACTCCCACTAGTTAAATGGTGGGTTTGAACGACAACCGCAGTCTGACTCGGGCTCATAAAGGCTGCCCACTGAAGATTTCAAGTTTACTATTCGAAATAGTACCCTCGAGATTTTCAGCTTAAAAAATCAAGCTAAAAATTACGATGATTTCATCTTTAAGAATTAAATCTCTATGTCTGTCCATTCAAAAGTTATTAAAGATCAAAGAGTTGTTTTTTTCGACCATCGGGAAGAAACAACTATTTTTAAAAATAATTATTTTATTTGTAACTCAACCATTTGTCGCAACCGTTAAGGGAGACTAACGTTACCTAGATACTAAATGTCAAGCAATCGTGATCCGTTTCCTCTTAGGGTGCGGCCGTAACTCAGTCAACGAATTTATTTTTAATTATTTGCAAATTTGGTGGATTTTGCCAATCAATGGCAATGAAGCCCGAGTCAGGGGAGTCATAGTTAACGATAAATTCGACATCAAGTGCAATACATATTTTATTGTATTCTAATTATTCTGAGGATGAATTGGACCATTTACTCTCGGGGCGCGGGTCGACGACAATTTGTTTTAAATTATTTCACGATCTGACTAATTACTTGATTTTGCATGACAGTATTTCTACGTACACATTTTTATTTATTATTCTTTCGAGATTCGAGGCCATACAACGTCTTAAAATTTTACTAAAATATGTATGTGGTTCAGTTTTAGGCCTTTTAAGATGGCCTTATAGATTTGTCAAGCCGTCCTCCTGTACGCACGATAACTCTGTATTTAAATACATCCTGAAATTTTGTATACTTGAACTTCATTCAAAAGTAAGGATCAGTTCGATGGGAATGATGGGTCAAGTGGTTGGTCGGTGGCGATTTTGGCGAAAAAAAATTAGATAAATCATTAAACACGCGTTTCAGGATGTTTCATAATGCTCCGTTTAAACAAAATTGCGACAGGCTTTCCATTTTTGCGTGACATTTTTTTCGCGAGAGAGATAAATACAGATTCTCGCTTGCGGATTCCATCAGAATTTCGCTTAACTTAAAATGCGTGGGCATGAAGTGGTTTTTTGCAATTTTGACCGGACCAATTCTAAATTGTTCACACAAGGAAATAAGCGAAAGTCTTCAGTTGTACCAAAATCAGTCAAAGTCAAGATTTTCAATTTTTTTTTAATTTTTCCAATTTTGACCCGACTTCAAAAATAAAAGAACCTTTTTGCACACATCCACATTGTGCAATTTAAGAAAAATCAACTTTTCAAAAACTTTTAATTTTCAAAATTTATAATTTAAAAACCTACAGTGCAGACTCCATATAGCCCGAGTCAGGGACATAGTCCCTGACTCAATAAGTCAGAGCCCGCTTCTAAATTCTTTTCCGAACTGACCGACATAATATCATCATCTTCCGTGTTGTGGATGGTTAAAAGTTTGTTAGATAGTTTCTATTATTTGGTACCAAATTTTTGAATTACTTACAAATCATGTGCCTTGACCACCATGACCAGTGGCTTCTTTAACAACCTGAAGTTCTAAGCTGTATGTATGTGCTATTCAGCCTCCACATCAAATTTCAGCTCGATATAACGATTTTTAAAAATCAGTATGGGTCACCCCATACTGATTGCACTCTGGTCACTTTGGTCTGGTTGCACTTTGTTCACTTTTAACTTCATATTCTTTAATTAGCAGTCATTAAGTATCATTGTGCCGGATTTCATCTTTTTAAAACAATTTCTAAAAATCGGTATGGGTCACCCCATAGGGGCGTTCCAGATAAAAATTTTACCAATATCATATCATATTCTTTTATTAAGACCCATAAGCAACCTCTCCACCAAATTTCAGTTCGATATGATGGTTTTGAAAAATCGGTATGGGTCACCCCATAGGGTCACTCATGATGAAAATTTTTCCAACCTGAAGTTATTTTTTTCTATTAGGAGCCATTAGCAACCTCTGTACCAAATTTCAGCTCTCTACAACAATTTTGAAATTTTGGTGCATAAGACCCCACCCACTCCGATGACCCCCACCGGTCAACCACTGGACCGATTTCGCCCATCTTCGAACTCGTTTCCTAACTTTGTCCAATATGCATATGGTAAAAATTTCAAGTCAATCGGTTCAGCCGTTTTGGCTCTATCGTGCCGGACAGACAGACAGACAGACAGACGGACGGACATGACGGTTCCATAAGCCCTGACTCGGGCTAAAAATTTGTGCGAGAAATTTAAGGTACCACAAGAGAGTTGGCAAGGAATTATACCACTCACTTTGATTGTAATTTTCTCAGAAATTATGGTAGGTAGAAATTTGGTTCAAATAGAAATTTTGTAAAAAATATACTGCTCTAAATTTTGGTAAATGCCCCCTTCTGCTGTTGCTTATACTTAGTATTTATAGCCAAAATAGTATAAAGTGATGAAATTTTTTTAAAACGTCCTAGCGTCAAAACCATCCGGAGCACAAATGTGCGACGATTCCCATATCGTGCGAAATAGTTTTACATGGGGAGCATAATGGGTCTCATTTCCATATTGTCCTCCATACTTTTCGAAATAGTATTTCTACACTTGCCCCTCCCTATTATTTTATGTTTCTGAGGACAAAAATGGTTCACATCTCACTACCCGACACAAATGAGCCCACAAACCGATTATACACCCTGCAGAAATATATAGTGACTCCAAATAACAACCATTATGACCTCAAAGTCCTCCCCCTCCATCTCGGGGAGCTCTTAAAAATACCCCAATGCCCTTGTTTCTATGCGGAGCTGTACTTCATGTCTTGACTCATGTTCTCTAAAAAATCATGTTGCTAAGTCCATAAAAAAATTGAAATATTCAACCTCTTGTGGTACCTTAAGGTCGGAGAAATCCACATCACGCCCACGAATTTTAAGCTTAAACAAAATTATGTATGATGGAATCTGAGAATCTGTACTTTCCTCCCTCCCCTCGCGAGAAAATTTTCACGGTAAAAATGAAAATTCTCGCCCACGGATCCCGTCATAATTTCGTTTTGACTCAGCATTACGAAAAATTCTGAAACGCGTGTTTAATGATTTATCTAATGCTACATAATTTTCGTGGTTTCGTCAAAATCGGAGCGAGACCGCTGGAGTTATCGCATTGTTAGTTAAATGACCCCCACCGACCAACCACTTGATCAATCATGCCCAATGTAGATTAGATATTTAGCATTGGAATACTGATTTTTCAAAATCGTCATATCGAGCTGAAATGTTGCTTACGTGTCTTAATGGAAGAATAAGGAATAAAATTGGTAAGATTTTTATCTGGAGCGACTCTATGGGGTGACAGGTGACCCATCCCGATTTTTAGAAATTGCTTTAAAAACATGAAATCCGGCATGGTGATACTTAATGGCGTCTAATGAAAGAATATGAAGTTAGTTAAAAGTGAGCAAAATGCAACCAGAGTGACCCTGGAGGCTGACCCCCGTTTTTAAAAGTTGTTATTTCTATCTGAAATTTGGTATGAGGGATAAAAACCACTTCTCGATAGCACACCCAGCTTTGGAAGTTCAAGATGTCAAAGGTTTCTATTCCAAATAATAGAAAATCTAACAAACATTTAAGGAGCTTGGTAATATGTCGGTCAATTCTGAGAAAAATTTAGAACTCTGACTCACCGAGTAAGGGATTATGTCCTTAACTTGGCTATATGGAGTCTGCCTGCACTGTAGGTTTTTATTTTTATTCTTTGTGTATTTTAATTTATTTAATTTCTACGCTAGTAAAATCGTACCGCACAAGCAGTTTACGTAAAAGTATGAATTTGTGGAATTTATGAACAGACAGACAGACAGACACATGGATACACAAGGCTGGATATTATAATATCCAGCTTTTCAAAAAATGAAAATTTCCATTTTTTCCGAGTTACGGCCGAACCCAGAAACACCGGCGTAGCCGTTAGTGATTGAAAAATCCTGTCACCCAATTGATGGTCAATTCTGGAAAAAAACTAATGTTTTGTCTCAACCCCAATTAATTACTCTACTCAAAACACCCACTCGCTCCAAACATGTCGACGGATCTGGTGAAATCTCTCGTGACCAAGTTGATGTCGGATGACGCCTCCCGTAAGAAAGTGGTGGCCATCCACCCCGCTCAAGTCCTCAACCTCTGCACCCTCGCAAAAAAGAGCTTCCTCCGACAACCCTCCCTCCTCGAGATTGACGGTCCCCTCAGAATATGCGGTGATATTCACGGCCAGTTCCACGACCTTCGCACCTTGTTCCGGGTAGGAGGAGCGCCCCCAAAAACCAGATACCTCTTCCTCGGCGATTATGCAAGTTTTGCAGGAATTACCAAAATACTTTGTTGGAATTTAGCAAATTTTTTTATCTCCGTTCTTCCCAGCGTTTGCATTTCCAGAGCTGTTACACCCACAAAAAGACGAAAATCTGCGTGGAGAAGACAGCAGTCTTACGAAAACAATGATTTCGTGAAGAAGATAACTTTTTATCGTAGTCAAAATTCTTTATTTTTTTTAAAATCGTGAAACCAATGCATTTTTACAGCGATAAAAAGGTATCTTCTTCAGAAAACCTGTATTTTCTTCTGATTGTTGTCTTCTCCACGTAGATTTTCGTATTTCTGTGGATGAAACAGCACTGGAATGCAAACGCTTGGAAGAACTCATTGGCTCAAAATACTGCATTTTGACCAAGTATTTTGGTCATTCCTGAAGTTGTGGGACAAATAAAACGCGTGATTTTTTACTGACATCTGTTTTTTTTTCGATGCGAACAGGTCGATAGAGGTCAAAATTCCTTGGAGGTCATCTGCCTTCTCCTCGGTCTGAAGGTTCTTCATCCCGACAGCGTTTTCCTGCTTCGAGGAAACCACGAAGTCAGCTCGGTGAATGAAGGGCACGGATTTTATTCCGAAATTAAGAGGAGGTTCAGGACCAAGGGGTACCAAGTGAGTCCTTTTTTGTGAGGGTACAATTGGTTGAATGAAATGTTCCATCATCGCGTATCAAAAAATTTTCAGGAAATTTATGCCCGGATTAACCAGACCTTTGACTATATGCCTCTGGCGGGTGTCGTGTCGTCGAAAATCTTCTGTGTTCACGGCGGAATCAGCCCCAAACTGAGAGACTTGGACCAAATTAGGAACATGCGGCGTCCGAAATCCAATTTTTATGAGAAAAGCTGGGCCAGCGATGTCCTCTGGTCGGGTAATTAATCCACCAATGCCCAAATTAACACAGGACTTGATAACTCATCACCAAAATCAGCAAATTTTAATCATTTCTCGGCTCTGGGAATTTATTTTAAAATTCTGGACGGCAAATTTGGAATCCGTGAGTAGATTAATGGAATGGCTCTGAGTTTTTGAAGCCAGTTTCGATAATTTCCAATTTTTCTGAAGTCTTCTTAACCTTGAGATCCCCTCTTTCAAAACCTGTCAAAGCCTGGAGTTTATATTTGGAAAAAAATTGACAACGGCTTACTGACTACAAATTTGTCCAGAATTTTAAAGTAAATTTCCAGAGCCGATAAATCATTAAAAATGTGCTGATTTTAGCTATTTTACCATGAGTCATTGAGTCCTACGTAAAAGTTTAATTTTCTTGGCACCCAGACCCCGCTGACGACATTGCGACGTGGGAACGTCAATCGCACCCTGACACGAATCCTCGCCATCGTGGGGCTGGGTATTTGTACGGTGGCGTCGCGCTGGACGAATTCCTCACCAGGAACGACCTGCGGCTGCTGGCGCGTGGTCACGAGTGCGTGGAGGGGGGCTATCTCTACCAGCTGGGGAGGAAGTGTGTCACCATCTTCAGTGCGCCCTCCTACTGCGGTAACTCACATGGCGTCATGATGCGCGTCAGTAGAACGGGCAACGTTCTGGGGTTCACGACTTTCAAGTAGAATTTCATTTTTTTGCGAGGACAACGTCATTAAGAAAACTATATAAAAGTACGAAACTTAATGTATAAATGACAGGTTAGTTTTAATTGATGAAACAATTTCAAAATTCTCGTGCTAAAAGTAATAAGTCGGAAATTATTCGGACTGTGATTTTTTAGGAAGTTTTAAGTAGAATTTTATTTTTTTAGGACAAATTTCAACGCCAGAAAGTAAAAATTATATAAAAGCCCAAAACTAAAAGCTTAAACCCTAGGTCAGCTTTAATGGACAGGATAATTTCAAAATTCTTGTGAATGACTTGAAAATTATGTATATTTCATGAAATTTTAAAATGTCACCTTACACAATAAAAAATCACAACAAAATTTTAAAAATGTTCTTCAACTCAAGTTTTATTCAATGTAACTTTTCCATTTCTTTTTTTCATACTACAGATCGACTTGCACATTACACAAGTTATGATTACACACGAAGATAAACTACTTAGCAATAGTATGCCTACCACTGAACAATCACTGGAAACTAAATAAATAAATAGTAACGTAAAATTTAACTTTACAGCACAAACTACAAATATATAATTCAATTCAGCGTTTATTCAAGGGGAAGAAATACACAATATATATATTCCACTAGCTAAACTAGTAATAAATAAAACAATAATTTAGAAATATCTACCTATAAAATATTAAACCAGAAAACAAAAGACAACAATTAAAAAAATACAGGAAATTTTCTCTTCCTCCACCAAAAAACGTGACTTGAATACTTTAAACTCCCCCAAACAAACCTTAATAAGGCTAACAATTTGCATATATCGTTTCTCCCCCAGGAGGAGGCTCACTTTTTGTCCTTCTTCTTCTTGATACGACATCGTGGGCAGTACCACTCGGTGTCCTCCTCGGGCGTGTCCGTGATGCCCTGACAGACAAAGTGGTACCAGTCGTCGCACCGGTCACAACCGATCATCGGACTCCCGTCGTCCTGTCGCTTGCACGTCGGACAAATCCAAATCTTGTTACCCTGCAGACACACACAAATCCAGAGTTAGCCATAAAAAATATTACCCAATTTCACAGTTAGTCTCACAACGGCAATTCAGTTCAGGTTAGGTTTTAAAAGGTACATACATATAGCTCAACAGGGAAGTGTTTCTTCATGCGGTTAGTTTTTCTACTCATGCAAATTGGTGTGAAATGAATATGAAAAATATCAATTTTTTCTGAGTTTTGAGATTGAGAGAAACGGGCTGCAGACTTATTTTTGGCAATTGTTTGTATACACAGTCAAGAAAAGAGAGAGAGAGAGAAAGAAGATTGATTGGCCTAAAGTAGTAAAAATCTGGTCTGGATGACACACACGGAGAGAGGAGAAAAGGTATGTACATCGTCAGAGCCATTCAGTTGTGTTACCTCACGCATCTCAACCCCTTTTCTTTCTCGTCTGCCGACCTGCTGGCTGGGATGGTGACCCTTTCTCTCTCAACCCACCCCTTTTCCCACGCTTCATCTCATCATCATCATCTGCACTCTTTTTTCTCAACGCTCGGGACCTCGTGGTGACGCCACGTGCAGACTTTAGACAAATTAAACACACACACATTGGTTCTTTTATGAGTTATTATTTACATAGTTAGCCTTTCATCATCATCAGCTCGGCATGAATGATATCTTCCTGTGTGTAGGCAAAATGATAAGGAGAGAAGTAATAAATCATATCAAAGTGTGTGCAGTTGCAATGGAAATAATACCACAACAAAGGGTCCGTCTCAACAAAGGGGTGGTTCTTATCATTGGCAAAAAATGGGTCAAATTGTCTGTTGCAGTATTATGTAGTGAAGACGCTTTTCTTTGCAAAAAATGCGGCAGTGCGAAATAATCAAATGATACGATGAATTAATGAAAATTAATGTGTCACATGCGAGTGGTTAGCTGGTAAGTCAGTATTAACAAAAATCCCATCCGCCACCACCACCAGGAAAAATAAGGTTTGGTTATTTAGGAAGCGAAATTAAGAAAATGAGGGAAATAAATTGGAAAACATGCAAAAACTGGAGAACAAACTAAAGAAAAATTAATAATAAACGTTGTGTGAAATAAAACTTGATTAGATTTTTGGCTTCGTCGTCATCGTCGTGGTAGTAATGACTCACCGATTCGTCCACGATGCATCCGACCGTCTCGGTGATGAGGCCGCCCAGAGCGGAGGACGACTTGCTGCTGGACTTTGCACTCTTGGAACTGCTCCCTCGTCCCGTCGTGGCAGGAGGAGGAGGAGCAGCAGCAGATGAACCACGAGCACCACTCCCACCACCACCGCCACGCTTCTGACTCTGACCACTCGTCGAGGGGAAGGAGGCCATTTGTTGGGCCAGGGACGCACCCATCGCTTCCGCCGCGACGGCAGCAGCCGCATGAACTTTGGCGGCACGAGGAGCTTTAGGCGTCCTAGTAAGAACAATAGAATTGAAGACACACATTTATTTATTTGCATGTCTAAAAACCAACCTGGTCACCAAGGGTGAAAACCTGGCGAGTTCTGGAGAAGGCGTTCTCTTTGGCATCTTCATCATTTTGCTGCTCTTTGACTCTCCTGGAGCACTACTAGCCTGATTGGGGGTCGATTTGATGGTGATTTTCTTGAGAGGAGGAGAAATCATGGGGTTGCTGTCACCTCCGACGTAGACGGGTGGTGGATTAGGCGAGTCGACCGGGGTGGCCGTTCCGCTCGAGTGACCGCTCAATTTCAACGTCAACTTGGGCACGGATAACGTTTCCTTGCTCGACTTTTTCTTTGAGGAGGAGCCGCCTCCACCACCGCTGGAAGTTCGGTCCTTGTCCCGCTTCTCTTTCTTGCCCGATTTCTCCTTCTTGTCCTTTTTCTTCTCCTTCTTCAACTCCTTGCGCCGCTCCTTCTCCTTCCTCCGCGCCTCCTTCGACTTCATGTCCTCGTCCAGTTTGGCCAACATGGACACACTGGATGACACGTTCGGCTTCGTATCCGCGGAGAAATTATCGTACGATTCGTCATACTCGTCGTCCTCGTTCTGATGGGGATGAAGGTGGTGGGAGGCTTCGTCGGAGTAACCAGAATTATCAGGATACGACCCTCTGCTTAAAGAACAAATTTAATACAAAATTAGCACAATTTCCAGCAACAAGTTCCGAATTTGAGGTTCTTCTTGCCCACCTTTCATGTTCATGCTCCATGACGATTGGAGTGATGGTGATCCCCGAGGAGGGTTCCGACTTGATAACGCCCGGCGACTTGTCTCGCATGAGACGACTCGGCTTTGACTTGAGAGTGGGTGGGGGTGGGGGCGGAGTTGATGGGAGTGTGGCTGGCAGGGACGATTTGTCGTAGCGCGTCGTGGGAGGAGGCAGTTTGTGATGGTGACTTCCACCACCACTGCCAACAGCACCAGATGAGGAACCCATGTCGATGGGCGTGATTGTGAGGGAGGAACACACGTTGGAAAATGGACTTCCCTTCTTCCCACCCTCTTTCGAAGGAGATGGAGTCCCCGTGGGGGAAATGTGGATCAAGGGAGCCATCTGAAAAATCAATAATAATATGTAATGCATATCTAGCAAGGAAAAGATCACGTCATGTGATGGAAAGTTACCTGTTGCGAGTTTGCACCAGGTGTGGGCATCTTTTTGAGAGGTGGGGGAGGCGGTAGCACAAAATTTGAGGGGATGAGTCCTGGCGCGGATGGAAGGCCGAGGAGGAGATCGTAACCAGCACCGCTTCCCGTTGCGGGGGTCATCCTGGGGGGTGCGAGTTGCTGTTTCTTCCCCTGCTTTTGACCTCCCCTCTGTTGCTGCCCCGGAGGTAATCTTCCCGTCGACGTGGGAGGATGTCCCATCTGATGGTGAGGAACATGATGATGCGGTCCCAAGTCCAGTTGCACTTCGGGAATCAAACTCCTCATGTCTGGCTCCATGTGGGATTTTTTGATCTTGAGGGGACGGTCTTCCATGAGCCCGCGACCCAAATTCGCCAACGCGGCAGCACTGAGGGGAACTCCACCAGGTGCGAAGCCCATCGCCATCTGGGCCTGCATTTGCGCCTGCGCCAAGGAGGGGATCATTTGCGCCCCTTTCCTTGGACGACCTCGCTTTTTGGGTCCGATTCCCCGCTCCATCCCCAAGTTCCCTCCTCGCGCAGGAGGCAGGCCAAATTTTGGAGGCGCGAGTAACGATGCCGCCGTCGCGGCCGCCATGAAACTCGACTTGTTCTTGAACTTTTTCAACTTGACGGGATCCACGAGGCCGGGAGTGGATTTGGAAATTCCACCCCCCTTTTTGGGGATTCTCATCAGGGCGGGAGGAACGAGAGAGTGTGCGGACGCCATGGGTGGTGGGGGTGGCAGCTTTGTAGACGACATCATCTCCTCGTCACTGTCGATCTCTTCCAAATCGTGACCATGCAGTGCGGCGTCGGCCTCAAATTGTTGCTGCTGTTGAAGGAGGAGTTGTTGTTGCTGCATCTTTTGAAGTTCGAGTTGTTGTTGGATGAATTTCTTATCTTTGAGCTTCTTGCTCTTATCGAGGAGGACTTTGGTTTGTGACTTCTTGTACATTTTCATGCTCTTCGCCTTGTCGCGATCGCGCTGCTCCAGTCCGGCTGCGATCTTTTTGATCGTCTCTTTGTCAATTTTCAGCTTCTTTTTCATCTTTCGGGAGGATTTCGATTTCGGGTCGGACTTTTTAGAGGAGGAGGAGGGGAAGAGAGCGGATGATTTTGGAGCTGTGATGGTTGTAGAGATTTTGTCGGGGTTGCCGAACAGGGGAATTTCTTCCTCGTCGTCGAGGTCGTCCTTGGAGTGAGATGGATCCGCCGTGTCGCTCTCCTGCAAATTAGCACCAATCCGTTGTTGACGTTATTTTTTCAACTTTGATGCATACTTTTATCCAGAAATTTTAAAATATGCGTCACCTTTTCGATTTTCTTAATCCCCTCGACAATCCTCTTCATGGTGAGAGGTTTCTTTTTCTTCTCGACAACCGGTGGTGGTGGTGAAGGGTCGAAAAATTCGCGATTTGGGGGAGGTCTCGTATCCGGGAGGCGTCCTTCTCGCGACGAAGAGAGGAAACCGGAAGTCGTCATCATCACCGAAGTCACTTCACGGATTGGATGACCATCCTCCTCAATCATCATTCGAATCCTTTTTAGCGCCGGATTGTCCGACCTGCTGAAGGGAATTATTAATTTCAACGTGAGAAAAATTCCAGCTTTTTTTTAATTTGATAATTTTGAGGAATTATTAAGAAACAAAACAAATTACTAAATTCTTTTCAATTTTCTTACTTTTTCGTCTTGGCCGCCTTTGCTCCTCCGACGCCTGAGAAGGGGACGAACCCCTTGGAGCCGGGTGTTTTGGAGTCGAGTCCCTCTATTTCGTCTTCGCTCGAATCGTCATCATCGTCGTCGTGAGGTCCGGCCAACCCACCGTTCTGATGGTGATGATGCTCCTTCTCCATACTTCGCTCTTTTCGTGACCGTTTTTTACTCACCACCTCGACCGCTGCTGTGTCGTCGTGTCGCACTTCGTCGGGTGGAAGTAGTGGTGGTGCTGGGGGTTCGACCACTTCGGGTTGGATAGGTTCGGAGGATTCGGTTGATTGGTGGTGGTGCCTGTGGTCGTGATGACCTCCTTCTGGAGGAGGGGACGAGGAGGAGGACGCTTCTTCCGGTTTCTTTGATTCCTACAAATCCAGAAAGAATCAAAATTTGATGAAATTTCGCAAGTGTCGTATTTGATAAAACGAGAAAATACACGAATAACCGTAAATATTCATTCGTTCTAATACAAATAATTAACATCAAGAATGTTATTTACGTAGTAAAAACTAAACTGGTGAAAGATTCGCCATAAAAAATATGGATTGAACAAATGAAATGGCAAATATTGTGAAACTTTTTCTATAAAAAATGCTATGAAATGTTGAAAACTTACAAAAATCATGGGCGGCATGTATTCATGCACGTGAACCGGTCGGGTCAATACTTCTTCACTCCCAGGTCGCAGGAAGTTGAGTTTGCTCTCCCTCTTGACCGGAAAGACGGGGACTTTGGCTGCATAGTTGAGCGTGACGGGGTCAAAGTTTTGCACGTACTCTTCCAACTCAGCGCCCGACATGTTCAGCTCGGATAAGGCGAGAGCTACGTCATCCAAATTGGGGTCCGTCCTCCCATAAAACTCGGCAAAGTTGTGAGTGGATTTCGCCAAGTGGAGAAAGTGGCGACGCATAATGTCCGCCAGAATGTCCAGCGCCGTCGTTTGGGAGGCGTCCCAGCCGACATTGTAGGCTAGAAGGGTCACGACGTGGCGCATAACGGCGGAGGCGAACTCGTCCGACATGGTGACGGCGGAGAGGCAAGATTTACGATAGGTGTGACGTGATAAGGCTGCTGGTGAGGAGATGGCTAAATATCCGCATAAGGGGGTGGGATGGGTGGAGGCGAGAATCCCCGAGATTTCTGAAAATACGATTCAAAGTCTCAAAATCCATAACCCGATTTGAAGTAAAGTGTCCAAATATAACAATTTTGAATTTGCATAATATATACTCATTTAATTCTACGAAATATAAGACAAAATGACTCTTACCATATAACTATGAATTACCCCTTGCGTTGAACATAGTCTAGTTAATTTTACAACTCATAATTAATTAATTATTGGTTGAAATTAGAATTATTCCCCGACCAACTCGCAGCCGCGGCCAACTCCACTGTTGACTGTTTGGGTTTGTTTGAACGGGCCGGCTCGCGTGTGGGGCAATCGAGAGACGCGTCCTCATATATTCCCCACCACCAAAAATTACAATATACCGGCTACTATGATAACTATTGATTGATAACCCTTCCATTATGCAATATGACTATGCCACTGAATAGTAAATACTGCAGACATGGTTGCGACCAGGTTTTGCAAAATGTGCTAAAAAACGGTAACGACGCTGGTCGAAATGTGCAATTTTTTCCATTAGTCAGCGTTTTTACATAGGCAATTTTCCATACAAAGAAGCTATTGAAATGACAATTTTCCAGAGTTGTTCCAGCCTGGATTAAGCTGCTTCGTTGACTCATATTTAATACAGGTGGGTGAATAATAAGTTATAGCAATATCCCAGCTGCGAGCAGGTATAGTTCAACGGGAGAAGGTGGCGTATTCTTTTGCCAAGGACGAACCACGAGACGAGACGACAGAACGTTTGTTCGTCACGTGGAAGTTGTTTTTTATTGTTTACTTAATTGTCCAGTAATGGTTGGTCATTCTATTTATGAGAATAATATTAAATTCACACCCAAATTTCCAACTTTTATATAAATTGAATTTGTTTTCCTCTAATTGCAAATTAAAGCCGAATGTGACACAAGTTTGACCATATTTCATCCCAAACCATTAACACCATGGATTACTTTTGTGATCAAGACCATGGCGAACTTTACTGGGTAAGAACAGCTTTAACTTCATTTGCGTAGTTTCTGTTAACCAAATTACCTGGCTGGAATTAATTTTTGTATTGATTAACTAATTGTCTTGTTTACATGATTTATTAGGATTATGAGAAAACCTGGCACACGAATAACGTGACGACGCCGGATTTCACCCGTTGTTTTGAGAACACTGCCCTCGTGTGGTCGCCGTCTTTGGTGCTCCTCCTCCTCGCCCCCATTGACATCCTCTCCTCCCACGCCTCCGTCTACCGTCACGTCCCCCGGTCCCCTCTCTCCGTCCTCAAATGTGGTCTCAACCTTATCCTCATCGCCATCCAAGTCCTACTCATCGTCTTCCATCTCATCCGGGTGGATTATGCCCTGGACAAGATTCCCGTCGGCGAATACCTTGCCCCCGTCGTCCGTCTTGTTGCTTATGTGAGTGCATGACAGGAACTTAAATTGACCGAACTGTTTAAAGCTGACTTGTTCAGTTTACCAGTTTGCATACGTTGGTGTTCAATTACAATTAATTTTTGTACCATACCAAGTCTTTAATTATTTATGAAATTTTGACTAATTTTATTTTACAAAGATTATTTGACGCTAGAATTTGGCGAGAACGTTAATAATTTGCTTGTATTTTTGCAGACGTTGTTCTGGGGTCTGCTCTACTACTCTCGTCACAAAGGGGTTCGCTCGTCGGGAGTGCAGTTCACGTTCTGGTTTCTGCACGGCGTCGGAGAAGCGATCAAGTTTCGCAGTAATATTCTCCGATGGCAAGAAAACAAGGTGACACATTTTCACCCCAATTAATTTCACGCCATGCTAATTCCATTTTGTGGGTTTCAGGACGGCTTGCCGATGGACATCTTTATCCTGGAGGTCATTTCTTTCCCGTGTATACTCGGAATCCTGGGATTGAATTGCTGGGCCGATTTGCGCCCGAGATTTGGACTCGATCCCAAGTTATCAGAGGTCCGTTCGTTACAATTTTTACTGGATTTGGACAAAATTTGACTTTACTTCTTTCAAAATGTTTGACTTTCTGGAATCGATTGACATAATTAGTTATAATTTGATATTTTCTATTTTTTAGCGTCCTTGTCCTGAGGAAGCCTCATCCTTCCTAGCTCGCATCATGTACGAGTGGTTCACCCCACTCGCCTGGAAAGGGTACAAAAAGCCGTTGGAATATTCGGATCTTTGGGATCTCAATCCACAGGTGGTTTTTTGCTACATTCCTTTATAATAATTTATCTCCATATTTCACTAGTTATCACCAATTTTCATGGATAAGTCGAACCAATAATGTGGAATAATTGTCGTAATCAATAATGAGACCTAACTTTTATACTCAGGACACGTCTCGCGCAGTGGTGCCCATCTTTGACAAGGAGTGGAACAAGCAGCTCTTGAAGGTGGAGGCTGTGCAGACCAAGGCCAAAAGTGGGGGCGGGAAGGCTTCCTACACCAAAGTCAACGGGGCTGTGGGAGTGGACTTTACGGAGAAGGGAGGTCCGGAAGAAGGGGCGGAGAAGAAGGTCTTGGCATCAGTTCTGCCCGCCTTGCTGGGCGCTTTTGGGACAACTTTCTTCGTCGGAAGTGCCATGAAGTTAATCCCGGATGGGCTGGCCTTTGTTTCACCGCAGATTTTAAAGTGAGCAGTGGAAAGATACACAATTTTGCTATTTTTCAAATATTTTGTTTTTGGTGACATTTCCTTAAATTCAATTTGTGTCTAGTTTGCTGATTGCCTACACGACGAGTGGGGAGGAGACGTGGAAAGGGATTTTTTATGCAGGAATCCTTTTCCTCTCCGCCGTCATTTCGACCATCGTCATGCAGCAGTACTCCCATCGCATGTACCTCACCGGAATGCGGATCAGAACTGCAATGGTGTCCGCCATTTATAGAAAAGCCCTCCTCATTTCCAACTCGGCCAAAAAAGGTGAGATCATATTTTATTTGTTCCTAAATTTCAAACCCCCAACTAATTGTCCATTTTTCTTGACAGAGTCAACCGTTGGAGAGATTGTGAACCTGATGAGTGTCGACATCCAAAAGTTGATGGACCTGGCCCCCTTCGTGAACATGATTTGGTCAGCCCCCTTCCAGATTGGGATAGCCATGTACTTTTTGTGGGGGATTCTTGGCCCTTCCGCCATGTCCGGACTGGTCGTCATGGTCCTTCTCCTCCCCGTCAACGCCGTCATCGCCACCAAGGCCAGGAAACTCCAAATGATGCAAATGAAAAAGAAGGACTTACGAGTCAAAATGATGAACGAAATCCTGAGTGGGATCAAGGTTATTAATTAATAATTAATTGGCTATAATTGAGCAGTGATTGCTGACCACATTGGATCTGCAGGTGCTGAAACTGTACTCGTGGGAGCAGTCGTTTGAAGACCAGGTGATGAAGATCAGAAAGGAAGAGGTAGAAATTCTTAAGAAGGCCGCATATCTCTCCGCCATCTCCACCTTCCTCTGGACTTGCGCTCCCTTCCTGGTATTTTTCATAAGCGGATATGTTCATGATAAGGCTGGGGGGTTTGATAAGGTGCTTGATTTTTTGAATAGGTTGCCCTCTCCACTTTTGGAACGTACGTGCTCATCGATTCTCACAATGTGCTGGATGCTCAGAAGGCCTTCGTGTCCCTCTCGCTCTTTAACATTATGAGTTTCCCACTTACATTTCTGGTAAGAAATTTTTAATTTTGTACAGAAAATAACAAATTTTTGGTAAATATTTCGCTTTCTTAATTTCCTGTCAAACTGGGGTTTCCAAATTTCGTCTGCCTAATGTTATGTGAAAGAGAAAATACGTGCTAAATTGTAAATTTGTATTTTATTTCAGCCAATGATCATCGTTTTCGTGGTTCAGGTATTTTTTTTACAAACTAAAATCAAATAATAATTTTCATAAATTAATTAAGTATTGATTAATTTGAATTAATGTGATTTAGGCGAATGTGAGTCTCAAACGGTTGAACAAATACATGAACGCGGATGAAATTGCCCCAGATTCTGTTACTCACGACCAAAGTGCAGGTAAGCGGAGAACTAATTAATTAATCATGAGAAATTATCAAGACAGTAAATAATTAAATACTCAGTGGATCCGATCATAATTGAGAACGGGACGTTTGCCTGGGAGGCTGACACGATCACATTGCGCGACATCAATCTCCGCATTAAGGACGGCTCTCTTGTCGCCATCGTGGGCACCGTGGGCGCTGGAAAATCCTCCCTCCTCGCTGCCATGCTCGGAGAGCTGGAGCGACTCAATGGCAAAGTTAACACCAAGGTCAGCAGCATTAAAATAAATACAAATTGTGCAATGAGAATTATTATAAAATGTGTAAAATGTGTTTTTTAATGATCCCATTTCGTGTTGCAGGGTTCCATTGCGTACGTTTCTCAACAAGCCTGGATCCAAAACGCCACGGTTCGGAACAACGTTCTCTTCGGAAAGCCGTTTGACCCCACCAAGTACGACAAAGTGATTGACGCCTGTGCGCTCAAACCCGACTTGGAAATCCTGGCTGCGGGGGACAAAACGGAGATCGGGGAAAAGGTAAGAGCACAAATCAATGCAAAATAATGAACAAATGGGATGGGAAAACTTTCATGATTGTGTAAATTTTCAAATGCAGGGCATAAATTTATCGGGAGGCCAAAAACAGCGGGTATCCCTGGCTCGGGCGGCCTACAGCAACAGCGATATATATCTGTTAGATGATCCCCTCTCAGCGGTCGACTCACACGGTAAACAATGTTCTTTAAAATATTGGCACATTATTTTGCAGATTACAGAGCAGAATTTGCAACATAATATGTCCGATAACAATTTTAAAAAAACATGTCGAAATTGAAAACGAGGAAATTTTTTCACAAATTAATTAATTTTGAAGATTCTGTTATTGCGACCTATTTAATTTAAGATTTGCATAATTAATCATAATATCTTTCGTACAGTTGGGAAACACATCTTTGACGCCGTGCTGGGTCCGAAAGGTGTATTAAAGAGGAAAACCCGAATCCTTGTAACGCACGGGATAGCCTACCTCCCTCAAGTGGACAACATCGTAGTCCTCAAGGACGGCGAGGTCTCCGAGATGGGCACGTACAAAGAGCTCCTCGAACGAAAGGGTGCCTTCGCCGAGTTCCTGCAGCACCACATCACGGAAGAAGACGTTTCCGAGTTGGAAGATCCTGCCTTGATTGAAGAGTTGAAAAGCGTCGTTGGCATCTCACCACATCTCACCAAGGGAAAGAGTCGGCGAATTTCCGAGTCCAGTGACGCTGGATCGGACGCTGGCGGGATGCGGAGGAGGATCTCGTCCGCGAGGAGTTTGGAGGGTTCGATGTCGCGGAGTGGGAGTGTCCGACGGGGGGAAGAGCTCCGTCGACATGCGGGCAGTCTGCAGGGCGGGAAAGATCGGCTCATCGAGGTGGAAAAGTCGGAAACCGATTCGGTGAAGATGGCCGTGTACATGGACTATTTTCGAGCTGCAGGGTGGCACATGAGCGTGGGGACGTTTGCCTTGTATTTCGTGTATCAAGGTGAGTACAGGACACAAAATTTCCTAAAGTTTCGAGAGAATTAATTGGGGATGAGACTCTAATAAATGTTTGGTTTGGTCTGTGTCGCAGCCTTCTCGGTGGGATCGAACTTGTGGTTGTCGAATTGGTCGAATCAGCCCGTGGTCAATGGGACTCAGGATAATGTGGACTTGTATTTGGGGGTGTATGGTGCCTTTGGCTTTTTACAGGGTGAGCACAAACGTCACGCCCTTTTGACAATTAACTTTTGACCCCTAGTTTTATGAAACAAAATTGGTACTTATTTTCCCCTCAATTTTCCAGCCATATCCATCATGATGGCATCACTCACGATGGCGCTAGGCACGCTCCGCTCCGCGTCCAATCTCCACTTTAAAATGTTAGCACGAATTCTGCACGCGCCCATGAGTTTTTTCGACACGACGCCCGTGGGAAGAATAGTGAATCGATTTGCGAAGGATGTCGACGTGACGGACTCGACGTTGCCGTTCAACGTGCGTCTCTGGCTCAATTCTTTCTTCTCCGTCCTCGCCACGCTGGCCATCGTCTCTTACTCGACGCCCATCTTTATCGCCGTCATCATTCCGGTCGGCGTTCTCTACTACCTCGTCCAGGTACCAAAATAATACTAAACTTATTCAGGAAATTGCAAATCAGTTTCTAATTTATTGTATTTCTTCATCAGCGATTCTACGTGTCCACTTCCCGTCAACTGAAACGTCTCGAGTCCGTGACGCGCTCTCCGATCTACTCGCACTTTAGCGAAACGATAACGGGCGCCCCCACAATTCGGGCATACGCGGCGCAGGAGCGCTTCATTCTAGAGTCGGAGGGCCAGGTGAGGAGTGGTTTTACTCAGATTTAAGAATTTAGACGGGGTATAATTGACATCTCGTTTCGCACAGGTCGACCACAACCAAGTATCGTACTTCCCCTCCATCGTGTCAAATCGTTGGTTGGCCATTCGGCTCGAGTTCATCGGAAACATAATCATCTTTTTCGCCGCCCTTTTCGCCGTGTTGGGGAGAGATTCGCTGAGCTCAGGTCTGGTCGGTCTGTCCGTCTCCTACTCCCTCCAGATCACAATGGCGCTCAACATGCTCGTCCGCTGGACATCCGATGTCGAAACTAATATCGTGGCGGTGGAGAGGCTGAAAGAATATGGCGAAGTGCAACAGGTGGGTGGACAGATTATTAATTGAATAAATTTACTAATTGGTTATCGATTACATTTTTTTAGGAGGCAGCATTTGAAATCAAGGAACGAAAACCACCAAAATCGTGGCCAGAACATGGCGAAGTGAAATTTGATCAGTACCAGACTCGTTACCGACCCGGGTTGGACCTCGTTTTACGAAATGTCACGTGCACAATTAATCCCGGAGAGAAGGTGACGATAACTTGAAAAATCCACCAGTAAATGATTGGTTATAATTATTAACCGTGTGTGTGTTTTGTGTGGTCAGGTTGGAATTGTGGGACGGACGGGTGCAGGCAAGTCGTCACTGACGTTGGCCCTCTTTCGTCTCATCGAGGCAGCAAACGGAACAATTTTCATTGACGGACAGAACATTGGGCGACTCGGATTGCACGATTTGCGCGGACGGATTACAATCATTCCTCAGGTAGCGAATCAAGCAAAAGCACGTGTCAGGATTAAATTAACTAATAATTTGTAAATGTGGGGTTGTTTATTATAGGATCCGGTCCTCTTTTCTGGAACGTTGCGCATAAATCTGGATCCGTTTGAGCAGTACACGGACGCCACGATTTGGCACGCCTTGGAACTCGCGGACTTGAAGGCGTTCGTAAAATCCTTGCCGGCCGGCTTGGCGCATGAAATTTCCGAGGGGGGTGAAAATTTGAGGTGGGTAATAAGCAAAATTAAAATTCAGGAAATAAATTTAAAGTTAAATAAATGTGAAGCTAAGTTCATGTCGTTTTTTCGAGTTTAACACTCAAATTTGACCTCTTTTGAACTTGCAGTGTCGGGCAGCGTCAGCTTATTTGTCTCGCGAGAGCCTTGCTGCGTAAAACAAAGATTTTGTTGCTCGAGTAAGAATAATATAAAATAATAGTATAATTTATTACTATTATAATGTTACTACTATAATATTATTTTATTATTTTATTAGCGAGGCCACTGCTGCCGTAGATTTGGACACAGGTTAGAAAATCAGTTATTACATAGTGTCACAACATATGTATGGGAGGCTATTTTATGTACCTACATTACATTTACATATTTACAGATGACCTAATTCAAGCCACGATACGGAAAGAGTTCAAAGATTCAACCGTAATCACGATCGCACACAGATTAAACACAATCATGGATTCGACGAGGTGGGCATTTGACAAAGTTATAATTTGCAAATTATTATGCATGCATTTTAACTGTTTGTCTCTTGATTTTTGCAGAGTGATGGTGCTGGATCAGGGCGAAATCCGTGAATTTGACACCCCGGAGAATCTGCTGAAAAATAAAAACTCGATTTTTGCCGGAATGGCGAAAGATGCAGGATTATAAGGATTCAAGTACAAATAAGTGCCATGAATTCCGAGGACGTGAACCGTTTACCTGGTTGAACTGTTCTCTCACTTATTGTACAATTGTACATTCACAAAATATTGCAAGTATTATGACCGGTTAAGAAGACTATGTCACACTATTTTTCAGGTTTTATAATCTAGATTGACGTTATTACTTTTTTAATGACCAAGATTAAGATGATGCTTTACTTTTAATTTTTAATTTTATTCACAACTCTCAAAGTGTTCCATTTCTATTCCAAGCAATTCGTTAATTGCGAATTGTCCAGTAATTATTGCACAAATTGTACTCGTAGCTCTTTGTACTTTTGGGTCTTGTCTTGAATACGACTTATTTTTCCATGTCGTGCCTTTTGGTGTCCTAATCTCTGTGATACACATTTATACCAAAAAAGTTCCTTATACCAATCTTACATTCTTAATGATATACTTATTATCCGTCTGTGATGACATTTTACTTATAAAGAAGGGACCACTCCACTTTTACCCACTGATTAACAAGAATATATTTAATATGCAAATAAAATCTAACCATAAAATAATTATTGTATCGAGTCTATTTTTCTTTATAATTTTATGCATTTGTAATATTGCATACTGATATTTGGTCTAACTTGTAATACAGCATACAGTTTCTTATTTTTCATGGCATTTTATTAATACTTTTTCTCTGCATGCATGCAAAATTAGTAGCAAATAACTGAATCGCAATCATTTAAACTATGAATAAACGTCATCTCCATAATAATTTTTCTGATTAAATTGATTAATTGACGTTTTTCATGGCCATATGAATTTCCTCTTCATTTGATCAATTATTATCGTGAGTATTTTATAATTTCAACTAATACTTTGGCAAATGCATGCATATACAAAATGATGTATTTTAATGATCATGACAAGGTTATTATTTTGAGGGATGGAAATTGATGCTATGAACGAGATGCAAGAGTGGAAAAATTTTACTACTCGAATTATGATTAATCATCAGTAAAGATAAAGTTGGCTGGTCTGCTCATTGATTTCCAGCATCAAGTTTATAGACATTTGCGAAATTTTTATTTACATAAATTGCATTACGTGATAGAATTTGTGTACATTTTTTAAACATGAGTGAAAGTTAGATATGTAGATGTGTAATTGCTAATCCTACTATTGTGAAATAGACTTGTGAATTATTGCATTTGCAGATTGCTTTTACTTATTAACGATGTCACTGAAACAAAGCTAAACCACACGACGGAGAAAAAAAGGAAGTCGTTTCTTTTACAAAAGATACAAAACTGAATACAAAACAAATCTCTTTTTGAATGCGTACTTTTAAACGGTTATCTTATCCTGTGTCGGTTGGTTAAATAAATTTCTAAATGTAGTGGAGCAAGTGGTACATGATATAATTTCAATAAGCAATTTCCATAATGTGACGAGTATTTGGCTACCATTTCATATATAAATTCATTCATCTGATAAACACAAAATTAAGCCATAACATATATAATTTTGATTGAAAACAATGCATATTTTGAATACCAAGTTATCGATAAGTGCATATTAATACATGAATAATCCTAATTCTGCATATTGGTAAAGATTAAAATCTAACCGACTTTTAGCCTAACACTTTTGACACAAGCCTTAAAATGCAATTTCATGAAATCTTTCTACTTTTCCTACTTTCTACTATTTTTCATTTCATAATGTTATTGGAGCTAATTGTTACACTTCTTATTGTATATTTTTTAAAGAATTAATTAATTAGTTAATGAAGTAATTATAGGAGTGTGAAGTGTTGATCTTGAACTGTGTATTGCAGGTTTATAATATTGAAATTGGCTAAAATCTCGACGGAAAAAGTGTGTTTCACCCATCAAATAACTTCCGGTTGTGTAAATGTTGCAGGCCTTATTGTGAGTGCAGAGGACTTCATAGTTTACAAGTAAAAACTAATCTTTCACTAACTGCAGTTCTAGTCAAACAAATTAACCATTTTAAAAAATTTACATATTTAGCTGCGTTTGTGATTGAAGTGAATTGCATCAAAGTTTTAAAAATATCTATCGGTCATCAAAATCATTACCAACCGCTGGAATCCTTATAGAGAAAATGCGGTTATTTACTTTTTTAGTAATTTACACTCTAAATTTTACAGTATTAATTTTTAGTCGAAAGCGGTGGGTGCATCAAACAAGCGATAAGTCAATTAGACTAGAATTTTATGACTATAAACTATTTACATAGCTATCCACTGTCTTTAACAGTGACACAATTTACAGTATTAAATATTACTGTTAATTTTTAGTTGTAAGTGGGGCATCAATCAAAACTAGAGGATGTGTAAATTAGACTAGAATTTTATGACTATTTTTTTCCTTTTTCTATGATTTTATGACTATAAACTATTATTTACATATACATATACAGCTCGATAATACAGAGTTTAATCAACTTGATATCTTGTTGCTCTGAAAATTGTAAATTTTTTATGCGAGCATTAAATGACATGATCGAAATTTTAGTTCCATTCTGACAATTAAACTACCGCAATTCCTACTTCTTGAGCGTGTCACAAGTTTCATAGTTTACGCAAGTACAAAAATCTAAAATTCTGAACATTTGATAAGTATGTACACAGCTCGTCGTCGTATTCACTTTGGAAATTTCGATTCAATCTCAATTTTAAATTGTCCACATTCTCCTTGAAATATTCTTGATAAAATTAATTACTTATTTAGCAAACAATTAAACATAATTAATTGACTAAAGTTGGACTTTCATCCTACAAAAATTTAACTCTAGTAAAATGCAAATACATTTATATTGTGCAATTTTTTTGCAAATTGTGCAACAATCTATTTTATGCATACATATATTTTACTAATCTTTGATCTTTAACAGCGCTTGAACTTATGTACATATATTCTTTGCAAAAAAGAGCAGGTTGGAAATCACAATTTGTTTTAAGATCAATTCATTTCATAATTTTGAGCAATTTCATAAAATATTGTACGAGAAAAGCTCCAACTTCACGCACAAGCTCCTTGGCATGTCATCCCTGCACAATTCTTAATTTCTCTAATGTATTTCTATTCACTATATATTTCATTATATATTTCTCTACCTTCTCTCATATTAGAAGCTCTATAATTTAAGAACGGATTATTTACAGAATGGCAAATTTGCAAATTTACAAATTTGCAGTGATTTTTTAAATTTAATTTTTCTCTGTGCAAAAGGGTAGTGATCACAAATTTTGATTCACAATCGGTAAATAGATTTTAATATCATTGGGCATATTTTTGTGCAATTTCCCATTTTACATACTCTATAAAATCTCCAATTTTACTCAAAATCTTCGTGGCCTAATAAATAGTATAATCAATAATGTGCACAGTTCTTAAATTCTCTACCTATGTATATACAATTACTTAATATGCACAATCAATAACTAATTTTAGTCATTAACATTACAGCAAATCATTTAGAAGTTCTATAGTTTAAGAACGGATTATTTATATTTATATTAAAAATTGCAGTCATTCTTTTGCATATATTTTTTATGCAAAAAGGGCAGGTTTGAGATCACAATCGGTAAATAAGTCTTCTTATTTAAGATTATTAGGGATAATTTTGAGCAAGTTCATTAAGTTTGGTACGATAAAGGCTCCAATTTCATTTTCAATCTCCTCGGTCTAACAATATGACACTTCTTAAACTCTCTATTTGCATATTATATGTACAATGAATATTCTATCAAATAATTTTAGCTATTAACATTATAGCATATCGTTTAGAAGCTCTATAATTTAAGAACGGATTATTTACAGATTACAAATTGCTGTCTTTCTTTTAAATACGATTTATAAATCCAAAATGCAAAATTGTATTCATAATTTTACAAATATTCATCCCAGTCGATGGAGTCGGCGGAGGAGCTTGACGAGATTTTGGGAGTGCGTGGTGGAGATGGGAATTTATAACGTCGCGTTGGCAGTGGTACAATCTCACCAGAAGTCGATGCTTCTTCCTCAGCCCGTTCCACAGCTTGGGGTGGAACTTGAGAGTCGAGCAGGGTGGCCGGAACGGGGGGGATGAAGAGGACCGGCGCCGGGGGTGCGGCTCTCGGCACGATGACGACCTCCTCAAGCTGTTGTCGTTCCGGAATTACGGGCTCAGCTGCAGATGCGGGATCAATCACGGGAAGAAGGGCGGCTGGCGTAGTGGATGACTCCGATGTTGTAGAGTCATTAATCGGCTTGACCTTCTTGCGCCAAGAGTACCGCTTCAAAGTCCATGGTGCCATTGGTTTCCTCGGCTTGGGTGGTGGAGTCAGGTCATTGGCAGCGTCCGGTGATGAGGATCCAGATGCAGAATCTCTCTTGGTGGGTGGCAGCACTTCAGACTCGAGTGGTCCCAACTCCTCTACCTCGTCCCCCATTTCGCCCCGGAGTGGAGAGGGCGTGGCTGGTGGGACGATGGTGGTGGTGGTCTCTGATCGGACGAGCGGTACGAGTGGGATCATGTCACGTGGGTCATCGCCAGAGTCGAGAGTCTTTCGTCTCCTAATACTGTTCAACATTCTCTTGAAGGATGGGAATCTTCCAGATCCCGATCGTCCATCCGCGGGGGCAGATGAAACTTGTCTTCGGGGAGTGGCCGTCCATGGAGAGGATACTGGTGTTATGGCATCGAATGGGACGACGGGATCTTGTCGGACTTGGCTGGTCGTGTCGTCGTCGTCGTCATTATTTGTGGTCGCATTTTCGCCCCCAGGTTGCCCCGAATTATTTGCGTCGTCATCGTCAGGGTGGTCACTCTGTGGAGGACTCTCGGGTATCGGAGGAGGGGACGCGTTGGCGTCAAGATTTGCATCCCCCTCGGGATAGGGTCCAAAGATCGATTCGTAGAATTTCTTAAAGCACGGAATCTTCTTGAGATAGGAGAGAACGATGTGCAAAAGTCCCTCCGCCAGATTGAATGGCGTCATCAGATTGAATCCGCTTGTCAGTCCGAGAATTCCACCGATTGTTCCTGGAAAATTTGAAATTTTAAAAATTAGTCATCTTCTTATCCAGACTGGATTATTCAAATGCATATTTTGAAGCGCAACTTACCAACAAAGATGATAAAGATGCACAGATTCTGGGCTTCTTCGGTATTGATGTCGTCATATTTTTGGTAGACATGAATCGTGGTAAATTCCTCTTCCTCCCTGCTCAAGTAAATTTACGATAAAAATTGAATCACTCAAAAGTGCATGCAATTCTTAATACATTTGAATTTACTTAAAACTTACGAAATGTTAAGATTTTTTTTTGCTTTTTCGTCAACAAAGTCATGATATGGGACGGAGGACGTCTCCGCAGAGTACGAAACTCGATTGCATTCCGGGTAGCATTTCAATTGGCAAATCTTTTTAGGAAAACCTTTCGCCACAACGTTATCTGAAATTTCAAATATGCATTCTACATGTAATATTTTTAATACGGATTAAAATTTATTAATTAAACGAACTTTTGTGGTCCAGTATGCACTTCTCCTTCTCGGGTCCACAGATAGCGACACTTTTATTCCCAGCTTTAAAAAATAATTTGTTATTAAACGTAATTGCTCAAAAATTTGGGAAACTTTGTAATTGTTGTCACCCACCACTCAAGGACAAAGGGACACAAAAGCAGTTTGTCTGAATTGCGTGAGCAAAACAGGCCTCCTGGCAGTTGCCCTCGGTGTACTTAGAATATTTAAAGTCTAAGTCTTGGAATTCGCCCCCCTTTCCAAAATCGTCGTTTAAGTAGCACTTTCTTTCAGCCTAATAAAATAAGATCACCTTAAAGTCTAATTATTTAAATGTATACTTTTGTAATGAAGGAAATTACCACTTTCATCCCTTTCATCTTCGGCGTCGACTTGACCAAGTTTGTCGTTAGTTGGACCCTAGTCTCATGATTGGGTTGGACCAAAAATCCATATCTTTGTATTTGCGGTTGTTCGGCAGGATTTTGGATGCTCAACTGAATTATCGCAAATAAATCAGTCATTAATTTGTCCTCAAATTTTCAATTCACAAATTTTAAGGGAAGGATGATGAATGTAGCAACAAGTTATGTCTAACTTCCAATCTGATTTTCTAAGCTTATGAAGTGATAAAATTATTCTGATTTCACTATTTTCTGCCCATACCATTAATCCATTCCCATCAGATAGTGGACAAAGTTGAGGTTCTTTGTTCATCCTGACCACGATGGATAAGCCGTAGTTTTGCCCAGCTTGCAGTTGTCGTTTGGGGACAACGGTAGCATTTCGACCAAGCTTCTTATCCATATTCCATTTCGTCCACTCAGCATCATCCTTGTCCTTGGTCGATCCCTTTGACGCTAGCACCAATGATTTTCCAAAGCTATCACGCCTGTAAATGGTCAAAGTTCACTGTGAAAGTGGAAAATCTCGAATGTTGCAAGAAATGCACTCACTCTTTAAGAATGTGGTCCGGAACCTTGTTGAAACTGCAGCACTGACCGACATCAGTCTGCGTGGGACGGAACAATTTGGAACAATCCTCCATCTTAACCCCATTCCAGTGACACACAAGAATTAGTTTCGTGCAGTCAACAGTCCCCTTATTTAAAAATTTAATTTTACATATCACCAACAAAAGAATTATAAATCAAGATTATTTTAATACTTGAGCCAAGAACGGAATTATTTTATGTTTCAGAGCGCTGTCACTCGGATTATCGTATATTTTCACAAGTCTTTCGAAGTTATCTCCGACATGAATTTCGTTGAGCAGAATTCCGGACTTCTGCAGGAAGGTCAGTCCGGATTGGCACGTGTGGTAAATAAAGCTCATCAGCTTGGTCGCGTCTTCGTGGGTCCAATTTTGACCATTAATTACCACATCTCTGACTTTGGTATCCTTCCAAATTCTTTTCATGTACATGTTTAGTATTTACATAAATATTAGTGTTCCATTTATTTTTTCATTTTATGCAATCTAGTTTGTTACCCCTTGACTTCTGAAAGTGTTTCTTTCCTGAGCATGAAATTCGGACACAATGTCACGGCCCCCATGGGCACGTTGGCCACATCCGTCGTCTCATGACGGGTTAGGTGCAGTGCATGAGAATCGTAGTCATCGGAGGCATCCTTGCACAACAAACAACCATACGCCGCGAGGGCCCCAAAGATAAAAGCCCACAAAGCCCTATAAAATATGTTATAAACTTAATAAGTTTGCATTGTTTAAGACTGTTTAATTCTTGTTTAGTTCCTGCTATTTCTGAATTTTATTGCTATTTCATTAAATTTTGGTTTGTGCTCAATTGTAGACTCGGATTGAAGTATGAAATTAAACCAGTGCACTTTAAGCATTTGCCTTGAATTATTTGTACAATTCACCTTCACTTGCAAACAGAGGAAACGGGGTCGATTTATCTTTTACAAACAGTGTAAAAAGATTGATAAAATGTTCCTAATGATAATTTCTATCTTCTTGTTTTCTGACTTTGTGCCTTCAGAAAATAAGAGCTTCAATTTTACCTCCTTCTGCATCTGTCCCTCGTTTGGAGACCCAGATAAGTTCTACTGCGGGCACGAAATGTCAAGGACAAATGCGGACTGTATGACACATGCGATCTACGAGTGCATCAACGGCCCCAACAAGGTCGCCAGTGTATACGAGTATTGTCCAAATTCGCGATGTGGCCCACTCGGCAAGAGAGCAACTACTTCTTGCATAGATTTGCACGAGAAAAGATATTTTAAAGGTAGCTTCAACCAACAGATTTAATGAGTAAATTCATTTGAGGTTAATCACATAAAATTTAAGATATCGAATCCGGAAAGACTCCTAAATGCGAAGGCTGCTGGTTTCCTCTACTCGAAAATGGATTCAAATATGCGGACAAAACGTTTTGCTACGACACGAGGAAGAACAACGACACGCTTTTCCTCATCTTTCGCAGGCAAGATTTCGCCTGCCCTATTAACTTTCGCCCTGATTGTATTCTCATTTCTAACCTTATTTGATTTCTATGTTCCAGAACTGGGGACAACGAGTGGATTAATACCACTTTCCGTCAGTAACCCATCTTTTCCTACACCAGGCCTAATATTTCATCTAATTTCCTACTTTATGTGGACGGAGACTAGATATTTACATCTTATTTCAAGATATTTCTAAATTCTGGTATTATTTTCAGTTGAAATTCACATCAATAAATTCAATACGATTGTGTAATCAATTAACTAATTAATGATGTACTGACGAAGTTGCTTAAAATGTAAATAGACATGATTAAAATAAACAAATAAAAATTAATTTGAGCAAAATAATAGCTCACTTTCTCCAGCCGGATTTTATGCATACGCAACTCTTCCTTTTTCATACGATGCCTACCTTACGTACGACGTATGAAATTGTGCAGAGCTACATATGAATTTGTTCTCAGCTTATTGAATTCTTAATTATTCATTTAATTAGCAATCAGCACCCAAAGACAAGCAGTGTTGGGTCAAAAATTAAAGTTAATTTTGCTCATACACCATTTCTGCTGATTTCTATCAATTTATTCTCTACACCATCTTTCTCGCGATAGTAATTGTGTATATGTATCTTAGGTTTTAGCAAGTTTTCTCAAGGCAAATTGTTCAATGAATTTCCGCATGCAATTAATGTATAACTTGATATTTCGTGGATAATGAATAAAGCCAAAATTTTAAACTTTAATAAATTAAACAATAACGCGTTGTTATTCATAATCGAGGAAGATACTGGATACGAGGACCCGGCCTACTTTAACTTGAAAACCATGACACTGTGGCGATGTGAAATAGGTACCACCACTTAACCACCACCACTCATACCACCTCTTAAGATGATCACTTAAATATTTCTCGTTCCATCCTTGAACCATTAGTGAAAATCAGTCAACTTCAGTTTGAAGTTTAAACTTATAAAATCACTTAAATGTAAATATCTGGCCAGTAAATCGGTCATGAATGGACGAAGGTGATCAAAGGGCACACGATTTAAGGGCACACTTTCTCCAGTCTCATTTTTTGAAAGAGATATGAAACCCTTCCTGGTTCCATAGCACTTATTTACAGCGTATGAAAGTATACAAAGCTCCCATTTTTTGACAGCTAATCTTACGCTGATACATTTTAGCATACATACGTACATGCTGCTAATACATTTTTCACACTTTAATTAATCAATAAGCAGTAAGCGCCCGAAGACCGGAAACAGAATGCACGGAAGAATTGAACCAAACATTCAGAGCGTCGTGTCATTCTTTACACGTGTCACACGTGTTACACCCAATTCAGAACTGGGTGTGATATGTGGTATGGCGTGACAGTCCGCAAATATCGTGTATCGCACACAAGTACCTCCTAAATAAATAAACACATCTTTCTTGTAAAAAGGTTTTTATTTTAGCAATTGGCCGTTTGATTGACATAATTCGCGTAACGCATCAACCTATGCAGTAGTAGAAGTGTCTAGGTTTTTTCGCCAAAGATTTCTCGCCCGCTTTATTTCTTATGGGAGAAGCCAAGGATTTCTCACCCACTTTATTTCTTATGGGAGAAGCCACGGATTTCTCGCCCACTCTATTTCTTATGGGAAAAAAAGACGGGTCCTCATCACACACTTCTTATGAGGAAAAAGAGGGCTCCTCGCCACATACTTTTCCTTACGGGAAAAAATATGGGTTCTCGCCACCATACATTGCCTTATGAGGGAAAAAGACGGTTAGGGCTTCTCGCCACAAAGCCTTTATAGCATGGGTATGTATTGCAAGGATATGCTGACTGCTTATAGTAACCAAAGTCTCAGATGTATTTTCATGTGTCGAAAAATAATGGCGGGACTTCTCAAATTGCCCCAAATATCTCAGTTTACCCCCGTGCCATAGATTATCCTGGTGTCTCTGATTACCCCAAATTACTAAAATTACCCAAAATCTCAAATTACCCCAACAATGTATTTCTTATGGAAAAAAATCTTTCAGATGGGGGTACATAGAAATGATGGCGGGACGTTTGAGACTAAATTATCAAAAATGTCTCAATTTACCCTATTTGTCTCATTTTATTCAAGTATCTCAATTTACCCCAATTGTCTCAAATTCCCCACTTATCTTAAAAACCATCAACGAATCATTTTACCTCTATATAGACAAGTAATACTCATTCAATTCTTAGTTACTCGCAGAGTCTTCAAGTTTAAAAATGCCTTTCTACTGTGTGCCCAAACATTTAGTTTGGTTGAGCCTTTTTATCTTGGCATTTGATATAACGTTACTCGTAATAATCTGTTCATATTCTATAATTGAAAGTGGAAAATCAAACCAAACCTTATCTCAAGACGGTTACGAAACCGAATTGTCAGAGTACGAAATCCAAGATAAAACTGATTGCAGGGTTTGCTTGTTACATGTTCGACGATTAATAAAAACCTCGAAAATTGACTATAAAATGGCTTACAAAAATTTTGTGAACGTCACACGAGTTTAGTCCTCAGAATTGAAGAAACGTCATCATGTCGTCCTTTTATGTTCACATTGAGAGCAACTCCTCATTTTCTCACTTTCAAGATAATACGATATCAAGCTTTAGAAATTGGTTATGCTCACCAATAATTTTGGAGCCCAACTCGTACGAAGTAGCCTTGGTAGAATGTGCTTATCCATCTACACCAATTCGTTTTGGAAAGGGCGACGAATTGTACAAAGTGTTAATAAAAAGTAATGACATTAATAGCCCCGTAAATGAAAACAAAACAATTTATAATAATATTGTGTCACTTGACTTGTTTAAAAATAATACATATTCCGAGTATAAAACTCAGGATGAATGGATAACAGTTTGCAACAATACTAATATCGAAACATTTGACGATTTACTTGAAGCAATGTCTACAAAGGACTTTTTGTTTAAACATTACAACGGATATACTCTTTTATCCACTCGGACAGTTGAAGAAGATGTAGTCTACGATTTTCAATTTAATACGCAAATGGCCAACATACTTGGATTCCCTCATCAAATTCATTGTAACTCAAGCTTACAAGCAGATTATAAATTCAACTTTAAATCAAATAACTCGAGATATTATATTTATTGTGACATTGTCGAAAACCAGCATGTGGGCGATACCACAGCACCAATCCTAAGATCGTTTGTAAATCCTTATACTGATATTGATAAAATTGTTTCAAAAACGTTCAACAATTTACAATATGTCTCAGTGGCAAAACCATCCATGGACTATATTCACATGTATATAAGGAACGAGTTTGGTGAACCTCCTCCATTCTCATTTGGAAGTTTTAGTGCTACACTTCATTTTAGAAGAAAACGTTTCTAAAATGTATTCAGAAAACGATTATGATGATTACTACCAAGCCTACGAACCTCAGATTGGAGGATCATTGGCTTATAAGGCAAGTTATTATCGACAAAAGGGAGCTGGTCTTGGTGGAGTTTTTGGCGCCATAGCCAGTCGTTTACTACCTTTTGTAAAATCACTGTTACCACACGTTGTGCCTCCCATAAAGTCAGCAGTTAAAAATATCGCAATGGATGTTATAAATAATAAGCAATCTTTCAAAGATTCTTTGCGTTCGAATGCAATGAGTGCCTTAAAAGAGGCTGGAACGAATTTACTCAACCAGTCTGGTGGTAGGATTAGACGAAGAAGGAGAGTTCGAAAACGTCAAGTTAAACTCGTAAACCAACAAAACGTAAAATCAAACGAAAGCCAAAACCTAAACCTCTCAAACGTTTAAAATCAAAGTCGAAAACGAAGAAGAAGAAATCGTCAAGACGAAAGCTTATTTCCAAACCATCCTTGTTTGATTGAGAAAATGGCTAAACCAAAGCAAATTGTTAACTTTATTCGGTCAGAGACTGATCTATTCTCTGAACCCGGCTACGACTTGACTCTTGCCAGCTCACACCGAGTTGATTATCATCCAATAACAAACATTTCAGATCGATCCACTCCTCTGACATTTATTATTCAAGGAAATGATTCACAATACATTGACTTTTCTGAAACACAACTCTATATTCGCTGCAAGATTGTAGATAGCAAGGGAGCTGATAGGGATGCTGCTCAAACTGATACTGCGCCAGTTAACAATTTTCTACATTCAATGTTTAGTCAAGTTGCTATTTATTTTAATGATACGCACTTCCCCAACTTCATTATACCCATACAAGGCTTACTTGGAGACTCTGCTATCTTTTGGCAAAGAGTATACCAAGACTCAAGCAATGGCTGCTCTGTATCACAAAGAAGCAGATCCAACCACAGGAGATGAAGGGTGGAAAACTCGAGAGAAACTGGCAAATAATAGCAAAGTGTTTGAACTGTGTGGAAAACTGAAGACGGATATATTTAACCAAAACCGATTTTGCATCCCAGGAATTGATATAAAAATTGTACTATATCGAGCACCAGACAGTTTTTGTCTGCTAAGCAAGACCTCCGGATCAGCACAAGATGCAGCACAACTTCACATTATGGAAGCTAAATTTGTTGTCCAAAAGCATACTCTACTTCCATCAATTACAATGGGACATTTAAGATTAATGGAAAAGGGTCAACCTGCATGCTATCCAATGCGAAGAGGAGACATGAAATCATTTTCCCTATCTGCCGGAACACTACAGTATACAAACGAGAGTCTAATTACGGGTCTTTTGCCAGATCGTCTTGTAGTCGGCATCGTCTCGAGTAAAGCTGTACACGGACATTACAATGAAAACCCATTTAACTTTCTTCAAGCAGATATATCAAGCATCACTGTAACCGTGAACTCTGAGCAAGTAACATCTCAAACGTTTGAACTTGATTTCGATAATAAGAAAAGTATTGAAGCGTACTTTAGCGTATTTTCGGGACTGGGTCTATCAAATCTTGACACTGGAATAGAACTAACGTTCGATATTTTTAAAACTGGAAAAACTCTCTATGTTTTTGACTTGAGACACCAACATGATGGGTTCGCCATACCAAGACATGGAAGTGTGAAAATCGAGATAAAGTTACGAAATGCAACTACGTCTGCCCTAACAGTTCTTTGTCATTGTGATTATCAATCAGTTTTGTACGTTGACAAGAATCGACATATTTACTTTAAGGACTACTCCATGTAAAAATGAACACGGATCAGATTTACCGAATTCTAGCAGGACTGTTTTGTAATAATAAAATTACCTTTGATGTTTGTGCCTGTGATGAATTGGATGAACTTGTTTTAGAACATTATCCTATTGCTATTGTAATCAATAACCGTCCCACTTCTCATCCAGGCGAACACTGGACATGCATGTTTATTGAAAACAGGAACCTACCAATAAATTTTTTCTGCAGTTATGGAGTAGGAGTTGATGCTTATGCAAGTAATTTTCGTGAATTTATCGAACGACATGGAACTGGTGCAATACAAAATTGCGTCCAATTACAATCTCCAAACAGTAACGTATGCGGGCACTACTCAATTTGGTTTTTATGGAAACGAGTAAATGGTTTTAGTGTAAGAAATGTGTACAGTAATTTTTCAAAGGATTATTCTAAAAATGATAGATTAGTCAAAGAATTTATAAATAACAAGATTCATTTATTAAATCAAAAATGTTGTAACAAGAAAATTCATCAAAATTCAATAAATTTTGTACGAAATTAAAATGGGTTCCACTTTTGCATTTTCCTCGTCAATTTGTTAATCCTGTGTTCGTGCACCTTCTTTTGAATCCATGCACTCTGCTTCTTTGTCTTCTTCTTCTTCAGCTGCTTTCTTTTCAGACCACTCCCCTTCTGCTTGACAATAAATTGGTTGACGGTGGTTGGAAAGAGATCGGCTGGAGGGGACTTAGACTTTATAAACTGCAGCAAATTCAACATTGATGGATCCGATTTGAGAGTGGATTTTGCCGAGAATCCATGACATAATCCAACGAGAAGCGCGTTCATCTTCTTCAACGTATATGTCACATCATTTACAATAACCTTATCAGCAGTTATTTTTCCACCATTTGCTTGAAGAAACTCGAGAATTTTCCGTCCCCGTCCAGTTGTGATATTTATAAGCACATCTAGAGTAGCACCTGAAACTTCACGTGTTGGTTTTGAAATCACTGTTGAGGGCTGTTCAGTAGCAGTTTCGTTCTCTGCATTCTTCACAAGTAGTGGCTTTTGTCATCCTGCCTCTTGTTATCAATAAGTTGTCGATTTAAATTTTGCAAAAGCAAGATCTTTACTTCGTCAGGTATTGTAGTTTCCAAAAATGTTGGTTTTCTCAGCTTTCAGTTTCTCTTCAAGATCCAAGTCAACATCTTGTTGAGAATTCAACGCCAAGATTTTCTTGTACCAACTTTCTGGTACCACTTTCATTTTTCTAGCCATTTTCCAACAAGTCCACCAACTAATGTAGTTAAAATCGGAACTAGCACAGGAAGAAAGCCCTCCTTTTGACACAAGTACTTCTTTTTACTTTTGATTGGTGACTTTAAACAAAGTTTTTGTATGGCAGTCTTGTGTCGCAATAATTTATTTTTCTGAGCCTTTGTCACAGGAATATTTCTGTTGTTTAGATTGAGGCAAAGTTCACAAATGGAACGAATTTGTTCTCCTGTTGCTTTATTTATGAGCAGTTTTCTGTCCTTGGGTTTGCTCCTACATAGACGATGCAAGTAAGAAGCATGGAGCTTAACACGATTTTTCGGAGCCATAATCAGTCAGAGTCCTTATCATGACTATGCCCTATATCTGCAAACGTTGGTTTTATATAGTAGTCAGTTATGATAATGGGTTCAGCAAGTGCAGCAAGGATTAAGTCCTCCTACCTAAACGTCAAGAACCCAGGCTCCTTGAGCGGACTAGGAGGTTTCATAAAGTCTGGAAAACGAAAAGAATCTCGTCGAGAAATCGAAAACGTTTTGAAAACTATTCCTGCTTATACGTTACACCGGTCTCGTAGAAAGATTTTTCCGAGACGTGTGGTATACGTAAAGCACATAAACTATCAGTGGGGAATGGACCTGATGGATGTTTCTAAATATTCAAAGACCAATTACAACACGCATTTTTTGCTTACGGCAATAGATATTTTTTCCAAGCGAGGATATATTGAACCGCTCAAAAATAAGAGTGGTCTAATTGTAATGAAAGGTATTGAAAAGATTTTTAAAAGAAGCAAAGGACTGCCTCTTCGCATACAAGTTGATCTTGGGCGTGAGTTTTATAACGTTCATTGTAAAGAATTCCTTGAAGATCTTGGGATAAAATTGTTTTCAGTTCAGTCAGAACTCAAATCTTGCGTGGTTGAGAGGTTCAATCGCACAATTTTGGAAAAAATTCATAGATTTATGACAAACTATGAAACAACTAAATTTGTTGATCGACTATCAGATCTTAAAAACAACTACAACTCTTCATATCACAGAAGTATAAAGTGTGCACCAAAGGAAGTTAACAAGAACAACGAGCAAATTGTGTTTGCGCGCTTATACAACAAATTAATTGGAGCAACGGATACTCGTCAAGAAAAATTCAAAGTGAATGACGTTGTCTTAATCTCAAAAGTGAAGAAAATATTCGAAAAAGGTGCTTCAGCTAATTTCAATAAAGAAAAGTTTATAGTTAACGAAATAAAAACGACATTCCCCCGTACATATATTCTTCGTGATCTTAATGGAGACATTTTGGAAGGAGGATTCTACCGAGAAGAAATGCAAAAAATATGATGGAGTGCATAAGAGGACTAGTATCACAGATCTCTGGCATATTTGCTAGGTTCAAGTCCAATTGTTGTATTTGTGCCAAATCCTTGTGCTGTTCTTCTCAAGTTGATAATCCGAGCAACGAGAATAACTCTATAGAAGTTTTTGATATTGAGTTTGCATTATCAAGTGTTGGACGAAAGTGTGACTCGTGTAAGAAAACTACAAAACGTTATCATAACTATTTAGAGAGCCCAAATTGGATGCTTTTATGCATTCAATGCGGGATTGTATATCTAGAAACGTTTCCAGAAAAATACAAAAAGGAAGAACAGCACACTATATTATAATCAGTAATCGTTTGACGAAGCAGGACAATGGACTACCTACTTAGCCCAAGGTTATACAACAGAGGAATTCCTTTTCAGTCGAGGTTGGAGGAAGAGTCCCAAACAGAGCAAGAACGTTTCATGAAACTTAAAGCTTGGTTTAAGAAAACAAGTACAAACACAACAATAAATCTTTCCAAGGAGACGAACCGCATTGAGTTTGACATTCATGAAGTGCCTCGACTATGTGAACAATTGCTAACGTTTTACATGAAAAATGGAGGAAACGTTTTGTCTGCACTCACACTACGTTCTGAAATAACACGACTAATACAGGAGCACAACGAAAGAGAAGTTGAAGACTTGAAAAGGTTCTCCATCGCACTACCGACCTTTTACGAAACGGACGATAAAAGATCCATAACCCCTCCAATGTTGTATTCACAGCCAATTGATGCTGTTGACCACTATTACAATAGCATTGGTGGAAAAACGTCTCCTCCACTATAAGAAGCGAGTGAATTTTTCAGTCGTCAGTACAGTCTTTACTCTACTTTCACAAAGTAATCATCAAGTTTGTAAACCCAACCAAGTTTTCGAAAATCATTATGGCTACAAAACAATCCAACATTTCGGGAATTGTCCCACCCCCAAATTCCCCTGCTTCCCCAAACCAAGAAGAGAAGGGCAACCCCACTTTTCCGACGTCTGCTGCAACCCCAAGTGCCAACCCCACCCAATCTTCTGCAACCCGAGCTGACAAGCGAGAATTGGAAACCTCTACTCTTGCAACCGACGACAAGAAAATAAAGATTGAAGATGATCGGATCATCCAAGTGTATTCTAACGAGTTACTTGAAAAGATCCAAATTGTAATTGAAAGAAAGAAAAAGTGCATCTACTTGGATCTGCCAACCTGTTTCTACGTGATTAAACGACTCGTTGGAGCAATGCACAAGGATCCTGCTATACGAGTCCAACTGAGTACGCTTTGCATGCAGATGTACCAAGAGTTCCCTTTCTTTGCGAGCCGAATGCTCTACGAAGAGGCCGAAGAACATGGATTCAAAGAAAGCAAGCTTGCGTATAGAAGTGAGAATCCAGCCATTTGGGTAAGCCCCTTCAATGACGACTACTATGTGTTTATCAAGCAAGAAGGAGTGTCCGTTAATTTCAAACTTGACGATTCATGGGATGTTATCCACAAAATTGTCAAGACTGCATTCCCTCTCGTGGTTGGCGATGAGGGTCGATACATTGCATTTTTCCAATGCTTTGAACGATTTTTAAGCGAAATCCTGTACGCCTGTGAAGATCTCCACATGGCAAACACCTACGAAAGATTGAAAGGAGAAATGATGAAGCTTGGATTCAACGAAGTTCGAGAGGGAGCTACACCCAAGTTTTATGTTATGAATAACTGGGTTAGTGTTTCAATTCCCGACTTAAACCAAGCCAAAGATGAAGATGAAGAAGATGAAGAAAGAAAAGTGCTGGGTTGTGAAATCCAAACTGATATCCTGCTCAACCCATGGCTGTTGAATTTATACGAACATCCGTTGCAGAATTATGGCATTATCTCACCAGCCGAAATGTGTGCCAAGAAGAGGATGTTGCGTGAAATTCGAAAACGTACAAAACCAACCAAGCCCAAGTTTGACATAATGATGATGGCTGAGTACTATGAGACGTCTGGATGGACACCAGTTGCGGAAGATGACTGGGCAGACATACCCGAGAAAGAGGGGTCTACGTTTTTGGGATTGACGAAACGGGGCAGATTTGGCAAAAGTTTCGTACTGAAGCAAATCAAGACGTAAAGATTTGGGAAGGAGTTTTGGAGGAGCTATGCAAACCCAAGGATGGTGAGGAAGAACCAAATGACAAGACCATTACAGATGGGAAGGACGCAAAGCCATGCATGCATCCCCATCACCAATTTCGTGGTAACTGGCCAGCAAAATACTTTGAGTTGCGAAAATGGAAACGGGTAGCAAAGTATGGTGATTTTCCACCCAATACCAATGGAAAGCGGAAGAACGCCTGGCTGGTGGATTCAGAGGGGCAGACATGGATGAAGGACTATGTAGATTTACGTGAAGTTAC